GCCAACATATTTCTGCTATAAGGGAGGCCATACTTCTAAATCAGCTTCAGTACTGCTTCATGAAACCACACTCTATTTCTTAGCTACCTAGGAGATAATGTTGTTGCCTAGGAAAACACAATGGCCAGATGTAGATCTCATATTAGTAGAGTCTGAGGCTCAATTGGAATAACAATACCTAGTTAAGTGCAGATTTTCAGAGGGATTGAACACCAAACCATGAGTGATAGTCCCCTTTAGATAAATGAGCACTCTTTTAACAAACTTCTAGTGTGATTCAAGGGGTCTATACATATACAGGCATATCTTGTTGATAGAGAAGGCTACATCAGGCCTAGTGATGGAGACATATTGTAAGGCTCCTGCTACAGATCTATAGAGGGTTGCATCCTCAAAAAGATTGGCGTCATCATCTTGAAATTTACATCCAGATGGAAGGAGTGTTTTGATTGGTTTTGCATTACTCATATGAAATCTATCGAAGAGATCACTTATGTACTTTGTTTGACATAACATCAATTTGTTGTCTGCCAAGGGTTTTATCTCCAATCCAAGGAAGTAGTGTAGATCCCCTAGGTCTTTGAGAGGGTAAAACATATGTAGCTTGTGTATAAAATGTTGAATGAAGGTAGAAGAGTTGTCAGTGATGAGTATGTCATCAACATACACTAAAACATATGTAAGAGTTTTGGAAGTGGTACGTATGAATAAAGAGGGATCACACTGTGCTGAGTGGAAGCTGAGTTGAATGAGAGTGCTCTTAAGTTTCGTAAACCATGCACGTGGAGCTTGCTTTAAGCCATAAATGGCTTTTTTAAGTCTGCAAACTAGATTCTGATCGTTGCTCGTAAAACCAGCAGGTTGCTTCATATACACTACTTCTTGAAGAGGACCATTCAAGAAAGTACTGTTAATGTCAATTTGTTTGATTTTCTAGCCATTGGTTACTGCAATGCTTAAAACAGTCCTGATGGTTACTGACTTTATTACAGGACTAAAAGTATCGTTGTAGTCGAGTCCTGCTTGTTGAGAAAATACTTGAGCCACAAGTCTTGCTTTGTATTTGGCAATGGTACCATCTGGTTTATACTTCACTTTCTATATCCTCTTTGAATCAATTACTTTTCAGTAAAGTGGCAATGGAACTAGTTCCCAAGTTTGATTTTTGAGAAAAGCATTATATTTTTCGGTCATGGCATTGAGCCATTTTTTACTCTTGAGTGCTTCATGGGCATTAGCAGGAGTAGTTTCTGCTAGAAGTGCCTTTGGTTTGTAAATTCTTGCTTTAGCCCGAGTCACCATAGAATGAGTGTTGACAGGAGGTTGATTTTGTTGGTGATTTGTGTCAATAGGTGGAGAAGTGGGTTCATAAGGTTGTAGTACTTGAGATATGGGCGGTTCAGGATTGTCAGGGGTGTTAGTAGATTGTGTTGAGGTTTGAGGAAGGATAATATGTACTGGGAGCTGGATGGTGGGTATAGTGGGAGGATAGGTGAAAGTAACTTTTGGGGTTTAAGAATTGGTGATGAAGAACTTGGGATTGATTTGTAGCGGGTAAGTATAGCAGTTATAACCTTTATGTTTGGAACTATAGCCTAGGAAGACACAAGGTTGTTACTGAAGATCCATCTTGTGCCGATTGTAAGGCCTTAGGTAGGAAAAACATAAGCAGCCAAAAGGTTTAAACCTAGAGTATTCTGGTGCTTTAGAGAATAAAGTTCCATACGGAGATATACTATTGAGAACCAGAGTTAGTAGACGGTTGATGATGAATGTAGTAGTACCAAAAGCATCAGCCCAATACTTTGTAGGTAATGAAGAGGCTGCAAGTAAAGTCAATCTTGTTTCTGTGACATGCTTGTGCTTCCTTTCAGCAGTTCCATGCCATTTGCAGTAAGGTATTTTGTCATTGCAATGTATTCTTTTCCAGCATCAGACTAAAGAATCTTTAGTTTACTATCAAACTGTAACTCAGTCATAGATTTAAACTGTAAAAAGGTTGTCATTACCTCAAACCTGTTATGTAAAAAGAAAATCCATGTAAATTTACTGTGCGCATCTAAAAATAGTATATAATATCTATAACCCTTTTTAGAAGTTTTTGGAGAAGGACCCCAGATATTAATGTATATTAGTTCAAGAGGCTTAGTGTAAACAGTGTCAGAATCATAGGAAGGCAATTTGTAAAATTTTTCCAAAGAACATGCAGAACAAACAAATGTTTTATTAATATTATGAACAAGAATATTATAAAGTCTCATCACATGTGATACAACTTTGTGTGAAGAGTGACCTAATCTAGCACGCCATAGGTCAGCATTATTTAAGGAAACAGTACTATGAAAAACAGAAAAATTTAAACTAGAACTAGTTGGGAGCAACAACTTCAAGTCTTCTAGAGCATATAATCCTTGTCTTGCTGGTCCTTTAAGAAGAACTTTTCTTGTGTTCTGACATTTAATACATAAATCATTAGCACCAAATTCAAAAATAACATTGTTATCACGAACAAATTGATTTACACTGATAAAATTCTTTGTGATATTAGGAACATGCAGTAAACTGTTCAAATTGAATTTGAAAGTGGAGTGTTTAGAGAGAAAAGAGGTGTGGCCAGCATGTAAAATGCTTAGACTGTTACCGTTGCCCATGTGAACTCGTTCCTGAGCATTATAATCAGATTTGATCATCAGGTTATTAAGATCATGGGTCAAATGGTTCGTTGCTTCTGTATCTAGGTACCAGATTTCATCAAGATTGGCGTAAGCAGCAAAGGATGCAACCATGGCTTGAGGTTGTTGATTGTTGGAATATAAAGGATTGTTTATAAGTGAAGGTTCTTCGAGCCACTCATCAAAACGATACGAGCAATGATATGCAATGTGACCAAGTCTTCCACAGAGCTGGCACTGAACACTCTCTCCTTTTTCTTGACTAGAATTATTATTATTTGTTCTTTCCCCGCGATTTCTACCGCGATTAGAAGTTTTGCCTTGACCACGACCTCGATTTGAAGTGGTATAACCTTTCTTGTAAGGTTATTTTTCTGTCACATTAGCTTGAAAAGGAGTGGTGTCACGTTATTTCCTCTTCTCCAAACGCTCTTCTTGATGCATCAAGAGAGCTTCTATTTTTGAGACAGAATAGAGTTCAACCCTTGTGATACAGGAGGTGATAAATCCATCATACTCCTCCGATAATTCGTCAAAAATTGCATCGATATGTTCCTCTGAGGTCAACGGCGATCCAATTGCAGTTAGAGTTTTAACAAATTTTTTAATTTGAACCAGAAATTCAGTCAAAGAACCTTGTTTTTATATTGAACGAAGCTGAGTTTTCAGTTGTTTTACCCGTGCCCGCGTCTACGAGGAGAAATATACCTTTAAAGTCTGCCAAATTTCATACTACCAAACGTAACCTACCACGCGAACTTTGAATTGAGGCTCCATCGACGCGAGTAGCCAAGATTTGAGAAGACAGTCTTGTTGTTCATAATTCTCAAATTCAAGATTGACAATGCCTTTTGCCTCATCTTCTTTAGAGAGATCATGTAAGAGGAGGTTAGGGAAAGAACTTTCACACAGAGAGAGATATGTGAAACAAAATTATCTCTATATTATTTTCTTGAAAAAATCATAAGTACAATCCCTTTTTAAGAGGGAGATTGTGTACAGCAAAACTATATTAATTTTTTAATTATAATATAATAAATGCTAATATAATAAATCCTTATCAAAGTTGACTAAGAATTAATTACAAAAATTTGTCTGTAAAAATATCTTTTATATAAAAATAGCTAGATAGATAAATAAATGCACACCATAACACTTATTTTAGCGATGATTAATGATTTAAATTTCATTCAAGGTAAGAATTATGGTTAACACTATAAAGCTCAAAGCAAAAAGAAAAGGGTAATTGGCCTTAATGATAATAGATTTTTAGATTATAAATTCAAAAGTAAAAACAGTGGAATTAGCATGACTCTAATCCATGTCAGTCCTTACAAATGTACGTAACATGCGATATTTGTTTCTATAGTTAATATTCAAATCTATCCTTTAGAAAAATATATAACCTAGTTAATTGTTGAAGGGGGGAAAAAACGGTTAGAAACAGAGTTTTAAAACTGTAAATATCAAATATTTTTATCCTTTCATCTATTTTAATTAATATTTTTTAGGATCAAATTGAGTTAATAATCAATTCAAAGGAATTAAATTGATACGCATTTACCTTTTTAGAAACTAATAATATATTTAAAACTTAAGAAAGAAGAAGTAAATTACACTCACATCTCATAAATTTTATTAAAATTTTACTTAATATTCTCTTTTTTTTACCGTATACAAATTTCCTTAATTCATATGATAACATAATATGGCATATTCTTCTTGATAACACAAACTTTTTCTATTTTTTATGTTGTTATATGAATGAAGAAAAAATCAAAGTAATATATAAAAAGTTAGAATTTTTAATTGAAATTTTATTAATTTTTTTATGAATGTAATTTACTTTTAAAAAATTGGTTGAAAGACTGAACTGTCTCAAGTTTATAATCTCGATAAATTAATTGCTGACTTTTTTATTTCTTTAAACATCAAATTGGATCGAGTAAAGTAATTTCTTTGAGCAACCAAATTACATGTTTATTCCTAATTTTATGTGCAGAAAATTTGGGCAAGCATAAAGTAAAAAGGACAAAACATTCAATTCAACCCCAATTCATCATTTCGTGATTCCTACCGGTTGATATATCCCCTCAACCTTTTCTACCCTTTAATTCATTCTTCCAATCACGTTTAAATATCATTGTTTTTTTCACAATGAATCTTATCATGAAAAGTTAATGGTACTATACATAATCAAGAGTTTGCATGACCTCCTCTGTTTTGCTTAAAATGGAATGAACTGATTCATGGCTTGTTTATTCAAACTACTGAATAAATAAGATTTCCATGAAAAACCCACTTCATTTTTTATGATAATGGGTAGTTTTTGAACCAAAGGATGGACCCTTTTTCTGGATATATTTGGATTTTCCTCTCAAAGCTTGTGCAAACTCTGTTCTGGCCTTTTCCTAGAATCATCATGAGGTATTGAACTTTTACTTTAAGCTATTAGCACTTCTTTCATCTCATTCACCTTTATTTCTGTTTATTTTTTATGCAGATATTGTAGCCATGAAGCACTTAATTCAGGTTGTTCTTCAAATCTTTGCCATGAAAACTACCAAACTGAATCTAACAATTCTGGGACAAAAACTGAAGCGGAAGCAGGTTGTTCTAAATGTTATATAGATGCAGAGTTGAAATGTGAAATATTTGAGGAAAGTAATGATACTATTCAATTTCAACTAGAATGTCGTCATCAAAATGATTCAAATGGTTCTGAAAATGTTACTAACTATGCTGGAATTCTTGGCCTTCAAGTAGAGGAGACAACAAAGTTGGTTTTCAAATTTCAATATCAGACTTGGAACTGTAGTGAAGAATTCAAGGCATGTTACAGTGAAAATTTTGATTCTGTGAATATTGATAGTGATAAGTCTTCCAGCCTCTTGGATGAACAAGAACCTCCAATTTTTACTTTCAAGGAACCATGTGTTGGTTCAAAAGATTTTCATTTTGAAAATTATTCTGATTTCCTATCTGAAAGAATCTTTGAACCAGAAAGTTGTGAAAGTGTGTCGATGCAGCAGAGAAGCCCAATAATGTGCCTTCTATAATAGAACAACCTTATAAGCATCAAGTGGAGAATCTGAATAAAACCATGCTTGTGGGAGAAATTTCAGCTTCTCATAATTTCCTTTATGAAGATGATCTTATTTGTTTAAGTTTTGAATTTGACTCTATCAGTTCTATAGGAGATGAGGTTTTGTTAGAAACAGACTTTGGAACCACTATTGAGCTTGACACTTTGGGAAACCATGATGAAGAAAATGCAGCTTTAACAAAAGAAAATTTGGACTTTGGGAGCGAGAAAAACACAGAGAATTTGTATGATGTCGATAGAGATACAATGAATGAGATAAGAAAATTAGAAGAGACTAGAATGCAGACTTTAGAGATGGAGAAGTCAAAGGGTTATTGTTTTCAAGATAAGCATAGGATCACTTTACATGGCTCGAAAGGTTCAGATATTGAGGATTCCCACAAGTTTGATGCACAATGGGAACATCAAGATCTAATAGAACAGCTTAAAATGGAGCTGAACAAGGTCCGAGCCATTGGTCTTCCTACTATCATTGAGAATTGTGAGTCACCAAGGATAATGGAAGACTTGAAGTCATGGAAAATTGATGAAAAATTCCAGCATAGTAGTACCACAAATGAGCTTCCAAAATTGTACAAGAGTTATACAGAAAGAATGCGAAATTTTGATATCTTAAATTACCAAAAGCTGTATGCCATTGGTCAGTAGTTCTAAGTTCTAACATTAGAACATTTTCAAGCTGTGGTTGAACTTTTCATAATTTCCAAAAGAAACCAGCTCTTACAATTTAGCACTGATGATAATATTTTTTATGACCTTATCTTCTATAAATTACTCTTGCTATGCAAGACAAGTCAGAAAATATGTTCTTGTATAAATTTATGATTCATCATCTAAGTGGACATTGCATTATGCATTTATGCTTAGTTTACTGATTAAGAATCCAATCAGAATATCATTTTCTAATTTTTATGGCAAATTTTAGGTTCCTTCAAGAGCGAGGACCTGCTGCAATCATTTTCAAGCCATGAGAACACTTTTTCAGCTATCACATCCTTCCTTCCACATATCTTTCACCATTGTAGGAATAAAAAATCTGAACCTGGTCCATTGAAGTTCATGAGGGAATTTTACGGTGACTTGGAAGAAGTTTATGTTGGACAGTTGTGCCTTTCTTGGGAGTTCCTTCAGTGGGAGTATGAGAAGGCTTTGGAGTTATGTGAATCTGACCAATACAGATTGCAAAGTTACAATGAAGTAGCAGAGGAATTCCAACAATTTCAAGTGTTGCTGCAAAGATTTATAGAGAATGAACCTTTCCAAGGTCCACGGGTTGAGTACTATGTCAGGAATCGATGTGTCATGCGCAATCTTCTTCAAATTCCAGTCATAAGAGGTGAGAACTTTCAATATACTGTAAATTTGGTCACATCTACTTGTAAATGAAATTTAGTGTGTTTGAAGCATGTTAGAAAGCCTATAAACATGGATCCAACGTTGAAGCTACAATTAGTAGCATTGAAGTAAACGTGAATCCATATTTATTTTAACATGAAACCAAGCACGCTATTAGGTCGTTACTTTAATTAGCCTCACTTTTCATAGGGTCCTTTTGAGATATGTGGATGACCATATAAAACATCATGCATTATACAAACACTATCTTATGGATTTAGAATAAATTTGGCTACAGAAGACAGCACCAAGGAAGAAAAGAAATCCAAAACAAGAGATGAAGATAAAGATGAAATCACAAGTGACATGCTAATAGAGATTTTGGAAGAATCAATCAGGATAATTTGGCTTTTCATTAGAGCTGATAAAGATGCATCTAGTTTGACACATAAAGGTCCAAGAGAAACTCAATTAGAGCTCCAAGACCCTGCAGATTCAGAATTTCTTATGGAGATTCAAGCAGAGCTTCAAAAGGTGATTAAGGCTTCTAAATTAATTCTTCTTTGATTAAGGGAAAAGGGTTTTATAATGTTTCTTCTTTTGATAAATTATTCTTTTTCAAATTTTGATGTGCAGAAGGAAAAGAAACTAAGTGAATTTTCGAAGAGTAGAAGTAGCATACTGAAGAAGTTCCTAAAGCATGAGAAAGATGGAAGAGATCACTTCCTTTACTTTTCCTCTCTAGTGATCATGAAACTTGTATGGAGAGTGTTGAAAATGTCAAAAATATCAAGGGATCAACTAGTATGGTGTCATAATAAACTGAACAGTATCAGTTTTATAAATAGAAAGATAAATATAGAACCATCTTTTTTGCTATTTCCTTGTTAATAGCATTTGCTAGTTTTGTGCATATGTTGCTTCATATTTAGAATACAATTGAAGAATCTTTTTTATTTCAACTATGAAGTTGTTGATTTAATCTCTACCACTTGAATTCAATAGTCAAGTCTCAATTATCAAAGTGTAAAATCATATATCAGGGATTCAATAAATCGTTGAAGTTTATTAGTTTGATTGATCGAGCCAACCCTGTTGAACTCGTTATTATATTAAATGTGGGAGAATATAAATTAGTTAAATAGCTTGATTCATTGAATGTTAAGTGAGAAGAATAAAAAGTGATAGAATGCAGGAGTTTTTATGAGGAAAAATTTAAGTGCAGATTTAGATTTATTTTATTTTTCTTTAACTAAAATTAAAATTTTACTGTGCCAATGAGTATTGACTTTTATTGCATAAATTATTAAAATAAAATTCTAGTTTTAATAAAAAAAATCATATAAAAATACTTAAGGTCAGTTTGAATTACCTTCTCAATAAGGATTTATTAGAGAAAAAATAAAGAAGTAAAATAAATTGAATTATTTTATAAATTAAAATAAACTTGTATTCTTTTACTTTCTTTAGAAGCTTTTTAATTAATTTTTTTCAAAATATAACGTGCATAAATTGATTTTAATTTAGGAGAACTTTAGTTATTTTATTTCATATTTTCTTTTTTATAAATAAATTTAAAAAAATTGACCTAAGATGAGTTTTAAATTATCATTTAAATTTTAATTTTTTTAACATTATCGTCTTTTTTTTAACTAAAACACCAAGTATTTTTAATTATTATATAAACTTTTAAAACTATATACTATAAATCAAAACAAATTCAAGTGTAAAAATTATATTATATTATTGATAATTTTTATTAATACTAATATTTTATTTTATTATAAATTATGATTAATAAATTATTTAATATATATATTATTAATATTAATTATAATATCATTTAAGTTTGTATGATGACAAATTGATAAATATATTATTATTAGACTTTTTTAACTTTTTAATACTCAAGAGAGATTCTTAGTATCATTTAATGAGTTCAATGATTATCTTTTTATTAAATATATATTAAATAAAGAATAATTTTCTATTTTTTCACGTCAATTCAATATATGGAAAAAAAAAACTACGAAGGATGCTAATGATCACAATACATGTACCTAATTTTATTTTTTAACAAATTAAAAGAGAAATATAAAACAATTTGTATCTTTTCAAAGCTAATATTGTTACAATTAAATAGTTTAACAAATTATTTACATTATAGTTTGATCCATAATTATATAAGTCATCTTACCTTAAATAAAAAAGAAAGCAAGTAGACCAAGAATTATCAAAATAGAAACTATTGAACTTAATTTTAAAGATGAAAATAAATTAAATTATTCATAAAAATTTATGACTTAATTCACATTAAGACTAAATTAGGTCCACCCTTTTTATTAAATAAATTAGATTAAGACATTTTTAAAAATTCATTAAAATATCAAATATTTTAACTATTCCTAATAAAGTGGGCTATGATTATGATTGTTGTGATATTTTTTACTATAATTTTTTGTGATTACATATTTATAGCTCATTTAAAAAATTATGGCCAATAATTATATAGAAATTTTGGCCTATTATAGATTTATATTTAAAAAAAAAAAACTTATCCTAAAGTATTTATTTTTTAAAAAACAATCTTTCAGTACGCGGGGACCTGAATTGGCTTCTCTTCTTGAAAAGAATATTTTATTTTCATTTTTGGTGAGTATATCTAATTATCTATGAATATTGAGTATATTATATATTTTTCTGTACGTGTAATCTATTTCACCCGTGCCTCTTCGAATGATCAAATACTGTTTTTTCACGTCCCCGCATGCAGAATGTCTTATCTATGAATTTCACATTCACTAGACCCCAACAAAAGAATTTGCATTTGATTTCTCTGCAGTGTTAAATTCATTCTTGCACGGCAACTATGATCTCGTGATGTTCATATATATGTGCTAATAGTATTCCTTATCTAAAACAGTCAAAGTTCAATTTTACTCATTTTTTATCATCAGTTGTTTCATGTAGCCAAAATAGAATATATTCTCTGAATAACAATCTTATTATGCTTTGTTTTAACTTCAACCCTTTTTAGCTATACCCCAAATAACCAAGAAGATTCCAAGAACCTCTCTCCAATTTGTTAGATGCTTTTTGAGAGATACTAAGCTAGGCAAAATTTGTCACAAAAATATTATTAATGTTTCTTCTTCTATGATTATCAATATATCTCTATATGATAAAATTATAAAAAAAAATTATATTTTTAATTTCTCGATCACAAGATCTTTTCTTTTCTTTTTTTTTTACTTTTCTTTTTTCCAATCATTGTTTCTACCTAGATAGTTCTATTAGATACTAATATCAGAACAAGGAATAGGAAAAATAGATAAATTTTAATTAAAATTGTTACAGCTAGGTAAATATATCAATCACATGAAACATATATGCAAACCTCCTCGAAACAAGAAAGTGACTCCTCGCTCCAAAAATGAATCAGTCCAAGATAGTTTTTCAAATGACAGAATTATCTGAATAAAAAAGATAGAGACATACAGAGAGTATAAGATCCCACAAATTTTAGTAAGTCCTTGAAATCTTTGTATCTACATATATATATTTTTCTTAATATGGAAAAACCAACATGATGACAAGAGAGGATCTATTTCCACAACACATGGTTTATGAAATTTGTGGCTCTTTTTTCCTGTGTTTCAGGGTGGCCATGCTTTTAGGTACATATAAATATGAACAAGGAAACTATAATAACACTTGTACATTTACAAGTAAAATCAGTACCTAATGGTATTGATTTTAGTGGTAAATATACTAATTGTAAAAATGGTAACTATTAACAAACATTGAATGACCCAATTCCCCAATTTAGTTAATTAAGTGTAACATTTATTAGTGGAATAGGTAGTGGAAATCTCACTGGGGCAAAGGGGTGAGTCCCATGCCACAGTAGGAGGCACGTTGAAGGGAAATCCAATTGTTCTACTAGCTGTTTCCCACTGATTAAGCTGTTCTTGAACTTGGTTTTTCCTCCAATCTTGTTCTTCTGTTCCTGTCTCTATGTTCATGTTTGGTTGCATATCATGAGGTAGACTAATTGAGAAGCCACTACTATATTGTTGGTTTGGCTCTTCAAATCCTATATAGTCAGGGTTGGAAGAAAGCATGGAACTAGCATCAAGTGTGCTTTTGGTGGGGCCAGTTGCTTCTAATGCGTAGAATATAAAGTTGTCAGCAAGGTCTCCATCTGAGACAGGAATTTGTGATGGCTTGCAAACTGTGCTGATACTGATTGGTTTGTAAGAGGGAATATCTGAAGCTGAGAAGTTGTTGGTGGTGTTGGCATTGGAGACTTGGTGTAACTCTTGCTTGTCACCGCAAAATTGAATGGCTGATGATCCTAGCTGGTGGCAGTTTGCACCATGTGTGAGTATGTCAGATACCATGCTTCCAGGTAACTGAGAAATCCAAGGGTGAGATAATGCTTTCTGTGCCATGGACAAGGAGTTGGTCTTCTTGAATATCCTACAGATTGCCCATGAATCCTGTAAACACATAAAAGCACTTAGTTCACTACATGACTAATCGGAATTACAACTTATAAAAGCAGAAGAATAAATATGTAAGCAAGAGGTTAAAGGAACTAATTTTGAGATACTATATATGCATGGTCATGGTTGATTTTATTTAAAGCTAATATTGACCATTTATGTATAATTAAAGGTGCATTTGGATACATAAATTAATTAAACACTTATACAATAAGTTTTTTTTTAAATGATAGCTTATATCATAAATTTAATTAAAAAAATTATTCAAATAAAGTAAAAACAGCTTATTTTAGTAAGTTATATTAAAAAGAACTTATTAAAATTAACTAAAAAGAGTTTATGAGAGTCACAAGCTATTTTATAAAAGTAAAAACAGTTAGAATGGATGGTTAAGATTAAATTTAAGTGAAAAAACTTTAACTATTTACATATGATTATATAACTAAGATTAACACCTCCGTTGCATTCTCACTAGATACATCCCCTACACAGCCATGCACATGCATATGTGTTACTTTGTACAAATGTTCAAGGAATTGCTGAAATACATACACTTGAAGGGAGGCTTTTGTCCGGGACTTTTTTGGGAGAGGCTGAGCCTGAAATGCAAGGTAGCCTAAACTCATGCATCATCCAATCAGTTTTCATCCCTTTGGCAGCTCTACCTCTGTAGAACACAAGGGATTTCTTCAAACCAATGCACCTTCCTTCAGAGGAGTATATAGGCCTATCAGTTCCAGTGGCCTTCCAAAACCCAGCTCTTGTGACTCTATTAGGACGTGCACTGTTCCTGTATTTTCTATCCCTTGGACAGTAGAAATACCACTCTTTCTCTCCAGTACCAGCCAGCTCTTCTTGTGTATAAAAATAAAAGAAAAAAATTAAGATAAGATATTTTTTGGTCATTAGAAAAAGGAGTTGAAGTTTTGAACAATAGAACCTTTAATACTAACTCTAGAAAAAGAAACACAAATGTGGTTTGATTTCCCTTTAGACCAAAGTAATAAACAAATGAAAAATGAAAACTGGGTTGCAAATTGATCTGTCCCTATATTATATGTAAGATTTGTCTATGTGGCCTAAAAGCAAAACTACAACATTAGAGAAAGCAAGAAAACAATGAGTGTGAATCTTGAGAGTTCTTACTTGGAAGGTCCCATGGATCATATTTGTAAATATCCACTTGCTTAATGAGTTCAATAGGAAGAGACTTCTGCTGAATTTTTCTCTTCAGGTAAAATTCTACAAGCTCCTCATCTGTGGGGTGAAAACGAAAACCGGGCATATCATCAATCCTATCCATTTCATTCCTTTCCTCCATGTCCTCTTTCTCTCTCTGAATTTCTTATCCAAGAACCAAATGCAAAGATATATAGAGACTTCAAGATGTCAAGAATTCTCTGGTATAATGGTATCTGTAAGAAACTTGACCCAAGTAATAATTAAGTATATGATATTATTACCAGACAAATGCTAAAAATTATAATATGCCTCTTAAGTAATAATTAAGTATATGATTATATTTAAGAATTAGTGAAATAATAAATTATAATCAGTTAGACATAAATTAAATGAAAGATTTGATCAAAGTTTTTAAACTTATACTAATATATATATATTAAAAATTGTAATTGTGCATTCTCTTTATAATTTTTGATTTACTTTTAACATGATTTCTGATAAAAAAAAAAAACTTTTATTTATTAATTTCTTAACTAGTGACTTAAGAACAAGAATTAGCATTCCACAACAACAAAAAATGAGTTAAGAGTTAGCAAGAGTGTTATTATTTATTATACACATGTTCATGATATTTGCATAGATGGAAATACAAGCATGTTGTAGTTTGCAAATTTTGGAAAACCAAACAACACCCATTATTAATGTGGTGTTCTCAAATATAAATAAATAATGGCACAGTAGAAGTTAAAAGTACATAAGCAATTTGAAGTTGTGCTAACTCACAGTGTGTGCAAATTTGCTTAGTCCAAGGCTGTATTATAATATGCCTCCCAAGAAGGGGTCTGTTTCCAAAGCTTCTGCCTCCCTTTTAGGATGGCTCCAATGGAGAGTGTGTAAATTTGGATGAAAATAAAATGACTTTGGTGTTGAGAAGAGATTGTGATTATAAGGTATTTAAGGTACTTATATGCCAAGGAAGATGTCACTGAAGTCAAGCAAAAAGTAAACCACTTTCAGTGGATCTCTCTCACTTTCCCACTTGGCCTAATATATTTGTTGTGTGAATGACTTATAAAAATGGATCAGAAGAGACTACAGAATTAGAAGCATTATGGGGTTTTTATATTGTGAATGTGAGATTATTTCATTTTCACACTTGCTGATGCTCATAAACATTTCCTTTAATCTTCAACAAATCAAAGACAAGCACAAAATGACAAGGCAAGCTTCCAACGTAATTATTCTTTCATTTTCTATTCTTAAATAGTATTTATTGTGAATTGTTCTTTTATGAAAAGTAGGAAGGACCCAATTCTCAATATAATACTCTTAATGTTCCTTTCAATCTGATTAATTCCCTACTTAATTCTTCTGAGGGCCCTTTGGGATTCCAACATTCCCTTTTTTATACCAATCTTCTCAGGTCCTTGTATTCATCATGTTCCGTGACAAATAAGAACAAGCTACCTCTCATCAGTTTAGGTATTTTTAAAAACAGAAAGTTAATAAGAGTCCTTGAGTTACTTAGTTAAGTAATAAAAATAAAACAAAAATATTTAAAAATGTAATAATATATTCATTCTCATAATTTTAATGTATTTCTATGTGATTTGTAATAAAAAAATTTATCATTTATTAATTCTTTAATAAATACTTTAAAAATACCGGATAATAAAATCATTTTAAAATAGAGTTTAATTTTGAAGCATTATCACTATAAAATATTTTTTACACTATTAACCAATTAGAATACATTGTAAATATAATTTTATGATAACTGTTAATGCAATCAAAAATTCGTATTTAAATGATAATTTGTAATTAGATAATAGTGTCAATTTTTAAATTATATTCTTATATATATATAAAAGAAAAGTCTTCCAATAGGTTAATTAACCTGCCTGGAAACTGAGTATTTGAGTAAATATCAAGTTGACCCAAGGGATAATAATGGTAAGATTTAAGTAAGGTACTGAGGCATTCTTTAATATTTAATAAAGTTTTTTAAATATTTAAGATGGCTATATTTTATTAAAATTTAAATTTGAAATCACATGTTAATTTAAAATGTTTTTATATTAAAATAAAACATTATACTTAATAATGAATTTATACTTATTTAAATGAATATAAACATGATGATGTGCTCAAATAACATGACATAAACTTGCTAACCATGTCCATTATATAGCTAAGCAGCAAGTAATTTAAGAGTTTCTACAAAATTCGAAAAATGAATGGGTGAGACTGCAGAATCCAAACATGTTGAATGTAGCAGAACTTAGGCCTCGTTTGAATCCCTTGTTGTCTGTTTCGTGTCTAAGGGTTTTTACAACCAAAGTTGGAAAACTGGTCAAATTTCTGCAATCGAAGTCTCTGTCTGTGGACATCAGTCCCTAAACATAATTATGACTCAAATCAATATTGTAATATTTAAGTCAATACCATGCAATGAGGTTCAATCTTTTTCTTGTTTCCTAAATTAGCATTAACTCGATAAGAAAGTTTTAACTGTAAAAAAAATTAGGCAATTGTTAAGATACTGTTTGAAAAAGTATAAATATTGTTTTATCAAAAAGTGTGACATTATATTTTTTTATAATTTACAATGTATCTTCAATTCCATTCTTACTTATAAAAATATTTATTAATTTTTGAACTAGTACTTAAAGACACTAATTAACATAACTCAAAAAATTATGATAGATTTTTATAATTTTTTCAAAGTAAGAGTATACTAACAATGCTTTGCGAGTTATAATATACTTAAATTTTTAGAAGGAATATATTATTACAAGGTACACTTTTAAAAGTATTTTAACAAATCTAAATATTATAATTTTTTTACACTCTTTTCAAAAGTGAGAATATTCAACAAACCATGTATATTTTTAATATTTGCCATTCTTATAGTAAATAAACGCACTTTAAGTTACGTTGAGGAATTAAATGTTAAGAGAAAAATAATTTTTTATTTCTAATAAATATTCTTTAATTTTATAATTTTAAAAAAATAAAACAGTAAAATAATGCATTGGCATAAATTAAATGTGATAATTGATAAACAAAAGAACAAAGAATACTCTTCTCTCTAATCTTTTCTTTTAAAATGACATTTCCAATATAAAATAAAGTTATAATCTTTAATTTATTAAGATTTTGATAAATATACATTCATACTCATGTTTATAACAAAGTATGAAATCATTAAAATTTTAAATATTAATTACTTTTTATAAAATAAGTTTTTTTATACGATCCTTAGTATTGAATCTTTTACGAAGTTTAAAAAAAAGATTTATTATTATTATTATTATTATTATTTTATCCTTCATAAATATTGAACTTTTTTTTCCATCAATAATTAATATGATAATAGAGTTTAACATATTGTATTCTTTCTAATTTTTTTATATGGTGTCGTCAACTAAATTACCCTTTCACTAATGCATTAATTTAACATTTTTTAATTTGTATAATTTAATCAAAAGAATCTTATAAGTAAAATTAAAAAGAGTAACTAACAATTATAGTTACATTTTATCTTTAAAAATACTCTCACTTATCTTAGAGGAGTTAAATGTGTGTGAGTGTGATTAACTATTTTCATTTATTAGATACATTTCTGTTTCTTCTTCCACACAAATCAAATAACATACAATTTTGTTAATCTTAGCTTGAGTTTAAAAATTTAACTGTGGTAAATTTTTTATTATAAAAAATTCATTTACTACAATAAATTTTTAAAAATAATAAATACTTTTTATGGAAAAATTACTATTATTAATTTAAACTCAACCTTAAAATTTGAGATTAACATTTCAATAATATATGCAAAGATGGGAAAATTAGGGAACATATGTTCAGGGAAAGCTGATCTCAAAGTGAAACTTGACAGTGGGAAAGGAAAAAAAAACTCATTAAGTTGTATATTGAAAGCTGAATCAAATAATTAGCTGCCGAAATTAATATTTCAAACCATCAATTTTATCAAAATTAAAAATAGTTATTTAACTCTTAGTCTAAAAGTAACAGCAACTCCTCAATAAAAAATAAATAAATTCTTAATAGAAACAAACTGGAAATTAAAATGTTGGAGTTTTTTTAGCTTTAATAGCCTCTCACAACTTAGATATTTGGTCCATTATTTAGCAACATTTTCAAGGTTTTTTATATTATTCAAGAAGCACAATTTCCATATAATATTCTGATTCTGATACTGTTTGCTTATTTGATAAGTTACTGCCGCAAATTCAACCCTTATCTGTTACAGAAAGAATCACTGTAAAGCAAATTTGACAGCGCCATAAAGCTTTGAGCACTCTAATGTTAATTAGCGTGTAAAATAAAGTTTCAATCATAGTTTCCTTCTCCGCTTGCATTCTAATAATCTACTTTTTTAACTTTAAATAAATAAATAAATATTTCTTGAATTGATTGAGGAAGGAAGAACATGGAAACATATAGCAAATTTCCAATCAATTTCTTGCTTGTTGGGAAATTTAACTACTACCTTTATGATTGTTTAAGTGCTAAAGGGTCAACTATAAAATTTTTGTATTTCATTTCATAATATAAAAATTGTGCTATTTCTCATGAAATTTTTTGGATAGTTTTTTTAGGTATGAAAAAATTCTACACTTCTGTTTGATAATAAATTATCATCTAATTAAAATTATCAATTTTTAAAATAATTTTTAATCAAATAACAGGGTAAACTTCTTTATTGATAATATATGACACATTTAATTGACAAATTTAAATTGTGGTTAGTTTAGTCATTACCTTAAGATATCTTACTAAGTGCCAATATATATATATATATATATATATATATATATATATAATAAGAATGAGGAGCATTACGTAAAGAGATGAACTTAAGCATATTCTTTGGCCCGAAATCAGAATTCCATGTTCACATTTCACAGTCGTTTAAATGATAGATTTGCTATCCAATAAATTTAGATACGAAGGATATCCCTAAGTTGATTATCAGAGAGGATTTCCTACAAAACATAAAAATCATCAAAATAAATTTTATCTCTCCTAATATTTTGTTTTATCCTACACATAACTCCTGCCAACATGTTGAAAGAACACAATTATATATATATATAAGTTATTTTTACTTATTTTATCAAAATAAATTATTTTCAGCTTATCTTAATAAGTTCTATTATTAAATTTAAGAAATATATTATTATCTTATACTTCACTCAAACTGTATTAAGACTTATAAAATGGTTTTATTCTGCTGCTTAAGTTCATTTTTATTAGAATCAAAATACTATATTGAACAAAGAGCAAAGGTAGTTCACGCAAAGATATATATATATCATGTATGGTAAATTTGAGATTAATTGTTCGATATTTTATAAAAATTAACATAATAAATATTTTTAAAATTTAAAAAAATAAGAACTATTTGATAACAATTTCATAAATGTTTAATTTTAATAAAATTTAATACAAACAATTTAAGTGATATATAATTATAATTCAACAATTAAATTTAATAAAAAAATTATATTAAGTTATTGAAAATATAAGAATAAATATATAGAAGAATCAAATTACAGTTTTACAATTGAACTAAACTAAAAGAATGAAATAAAAAGGTACTATTTTATATATTTCAAATATATATACTATATCAAATTTAATGTGTGTGAATAAAGTATCAAATAGTTTTAAACATATCTTAAATTTCGCATATATAATCTATGGAAATAAAACTTTTAATATAACAATTAGTTTTAAAATTAAATTATTCAATAAAATTTATTAAAAAGTGTAAAAACTAGTAAAATTTTCAATAGTATATATTTTTTTCTCATATATACCCACACAAATTATATGAATTATGTGCATAGACTATTCAGAGAGAAAGCTAACAAAACCATAATATTATTTAAAAAAAAATTAGATGAGAATGAATAAAAAATATTGTGAATATTATTTACAAAAATCTGAACGACAAGTGCACCACTACCACCAAAAAAAAAATAAGCCTGCCTTTAAATACATACGTTTGTAAAGTGAATAAATAAAACTTAGTCTACTCTTTTATGTCATAAAACTTTGTTCTCCGGATTTCATCTAACATCTTTCTAAAACTAATAATGTAAGAGCTCGAATTCAAATGTCCAGTATTTTAAAAAACAGGTAAATTATTTGTATCATATTTCCCTACATAAGACCCAGATTGCAGTAATAACTTTTTTTTTTTCATTTTTTTTTTGTTTACGGCAAAAATAATACATAATTGTCAACGTGAGAAATGCTAAAATGCACTCTTTAATACATTATTTTTAATACACTCTCAACCATTGTCTAAAATTTATTAAAAACTACAAAAATATGAAGAAAAAAAAATTAAATTAGGAATAAAAAAGAGTGAAATTCATTATTTTGTAGTTTTCAATAAATTTTAATAAACAATTAAGAGTGTATTAGAATGTGTCTTGTCAGTATTCCTCTTGTCAACTTGATACATTGGTGGATTATCAGATCAAAGCATATTATATTATAGACCATTTCAAGAACTTTGCTCCTCAAGTACCACAGGCAGCTCCAACTTCTCATTTCCTCTCTGAATCATCAAGACTACTTTATCACCTACATTATAGTCATCCAATGCTTTCAACAAATCTGCTTTGCTCTTTACCTGACAAGGATGTGCCAAAGTTATCAAATTAATGCATTCCTTGTCTACTTAGGACCTGTTTGGAAGAATTTATGGACAGCTTACGAAAACAATTTATTACTTTCATAAACAATTTTCCACTCATTTTAATAAACTTTTTGGTATAACTTTTTCACATAAGTTGTTTTTAGTTTATACAAACAAACTTTATCGTTAAATTATGACAAAAGTAGTAGTTTAAAAAAAGCATACTAAATAAGCACTTAAATAAGTTGTGTCCGAACACAACCTTAATCATGTAGTGTGGTGTGTGTAGGAACAGTATTTGTATTTTATTGACCAAACACATAAAAGGCATAGGAAAGATAAAATAAAGGTTAACAATATAAAATGAACAGTTTATCCTTTAAAAGTGCATGATTTAAGCAGTTTCAACAAAAGAAAGCTCACAGGCTTATTGTCAACTGCAACAATGATATCTCCAAGGACTATGTTACCAGCAAAGCCCCTTGTAGTGGGATTTAGGCCAGCCTTGGCCGCAAGACTATTCCCAGGAACCTGAGGAACATAAGTTCTTGGGAGTTAAAGAATGATTTGGATGCGAAGTTTAGTTGAAGACATAAAAAAATATATATTGTGGACATACCTGAAGAACAAGAGCTCCATTTCGAACATTAAGTTGATTTGCAATTAGGTCCGGAGCAATATCCACATTCAAACCAGCTCTAGCAACCTAAATTTAATCAACCATGAAATCAAATATAGTCATAGGGTATATAGACCTTAAAAAATCTGCAGTTGAAAACAAATATTATATATAAAACGGTTTTTTTTAATGTGTCCAAGGACACAATGTAAGAAACCAATAAGTAGTAAGTCTATATTGGACATTGTAACATTTAATGTTATTAATGCATTTTGAATCTTGCTATATCCTGCATTTTCTAATGAAAACTTATCATGTATAGGTTCTTATTGTATATCTTTAGACCCGCATTAGAAAAACCATATATAAAAATCATAATAGAGAAAAGATAAGAATAAAAACAGTTTTTCCATAATTTTTCTTCACACTAACAATGAAGCATTTATTTTCTCTTTAAAATCTAGTAAAATAATACACTTTTCTTATATAAAACACAAAAGGGCCACCAACCATAAAGCCTTATCAAGAACACAATGAGTTAATATCTAACATCAAAAAGCAAGATTTATATGTACATTAAAATTTTCACAGAGAAAAGCTGAAGATTTGCCTAGATTGTTTGTGTGTATATGTGTGGTTCAACAAAGCACTTACTTTTCCAAATTGAATCAGCTGAGGAACAATTCGCAGTACAGTTGACGATGGAATGGCAAATCCTACGCCAGCTGATGTTCCTGCAATACCGAGAAAAATGGCAATAAACATGAAGCATAAAAAAGTAAAATAAGAGAAACTAGAACTTGTGGCTTATGCAATTAATTCCCCGTGCAAAGGAAAGTGAATAGATCAACAATATAATGAACGAAAAAATGGTTGAAAATTGTTGACAAGTGGACCAAAAAGATTTCCTCAGCTATCATATTCAGAAATACATCAATGTTCAGTAATAGTCATTGAGATGGTAGCATAGACGAAGAAACTTGCCTGTCCGAGTAAATATTGCAGTATTAATTCCAATTAAGCTTCCTTTAGAATTCAGAAGGGGACCTCCGCTGTCAGAATCACAAGAAAAGTAAGAAAGGCCGAACACAAAATGACAGCCAGTAGTTAACACTTAATACCAATCATGAAAGGAACAACTTTTTTACCAAGTGAAATTGCATGAAACTTAAGGGATAAAAAAGGTAAAGAAAAATGGAAGGGGACTATTCCTAGTTCATATATGGAAAGGAAAGGAGCTTAGTGTAACCTGTTCCCAGGATTTATGGCTGCATCAGTTTGAATACCACCACCAATTGTTACACCAGTTTGACTCGAGATGTCTCGGTTAAGTCCACTAATAACCCCAACTGTGAGGGTGTGATCAAAGCCAAATGGATTTCCAATTGCCAAACATTGCTGCCCAACTTTTAGAGACAATGACTGCCCCACCTTGATGGGCCTTAAAATATCTTTAGGTGCTTCCACCTGTATTTGTAAAGTATTAATATCTCATCAAGTGTATGACACATGCACAATTTTATTAACTAACTAAACGCAATAGTAATAAAAGATGTGATTTATACAGTTATTAATTTCGGGGCTTGATTGCTTCAATGTGATCACAAGGAGGTGAATCATATATGCGTCTTGTTTAATTTATCCTAATACGAAATGCTTCATTTCAAGTTTTCAACAATATTATACAAATGTATGTAGACCAACTCATCGTTATTAATATTTTAATTGACAAAGAAAGCAACTTTTAACCATCATTATTTTAATGCACAAGTAACAAGAATGAACTAAAGAGAAAAACAAAACAAAATTAAAATTTGAATAATGAATTAAACATTAAATGGAATAGATTATAGAAGTAAAGCAGAAACAAACAAATAGAAGACATTATATGCCACTAGAAAACACAACAGCAACAGAAAGAAATCCAACTTGGAAGCAAAATATTCTCCTAGGATGTTAGCATGTTGTAAGGTGAAACCGAGATGTTGTAAAGTAGATTGCTGATGAAAACCAGACAGGTGATTTACAAAAGAAATAAATTCAGAAAATAAAAAAGAAATCATGCCTTCAAGACAGCGAGATCCTTTAATCGGTCAGCTCCAATGAGTCTACCTTCAAAATTCTTTTGTATCCTTTATAATAGAAGGTGTCAGAATTACATATATTAATTATTAAGTTTGGAACAGCAAAAAACTCCATAAGCCTCACCCTTCTGATGCTAGAATATTAACTCGGGCAACAACCTCACCAGAGCTTGGGTTTCTTGACAGGGCATTGCCAATTACTAAGTGTACAAGAAAGTAATAATCAGAAGTCAGCACCTGGTCCAGAAAGCCTTCTGAATAAACTAAGATTGAGAAAATATATATACAAATTAAAGTACATAGCACTCCATCAGAGCACAGCCAGGAAATTAGGCAAGCAGCAAAATGGAGCTAAAAATTCCAAAGAAGAACAAGGAAAGCCTTGGGGGGGGAGGGGGGGAGAGAGATATTTAAAAGCAAAAAAACTTCAACAAATCCTTATTTAATTGAGAATACATACCCAAATCAAGAAGGCCGTCAATACAGGAGAAAGGCCCAATCCACATAAGAGAAACCTTATGCTCATTCACTCACTAAAATCTTACTGAAGAGAACCAAAGCTAATTGTGTGTGCGTATTGTTTTAGAGACAGAATTCAGACAAAACACAAAAATTCTATTTTCTCCGCTGATTCTCACCGTGATAATTTGTCACAATGTGTCCCTCCTCATCCCAAACTACTCCAGAACCATTTCCTTCAGGAATCTGCCAGTATAGATACAAAAATTAATTACATTGTTCGATATTCTACTCATGTAGAACGATAAAGACCTGATCATGCTTATAAGCTAAAGTTGATATAATAATTAAAAATTAGATAGTCATTGATATGACCTTAACAAGATTTAACATCAGATATTATAGTTTAAAGACTAAATTACCTCAACCACACCAGTTACATTAAGCTGAGGACGTAATGTCACATCAAAGATGTTAACAACAGAATATGTGTTCCTTTCAAACAATTGGACAAATCGATCCTGTCAATCGCAACAAATTGGAATAAACTACAATTACATAAAGGTTAAAAAAATGTGCCATACAACCACAACAGACAAAAGAGGGGCTATAGTTGAAAACTGACCTCTATGGGAAAGAGTGGCCCAGAAGAAAACACAGGAGGGGTGACCTCTTCAAGCGTCACTGATGGATCTCCCAATGCTAGGGCTGTATATTTATAATTTATTGCATAATGATAAACTTTTCTAGTAAATACTTAATAGACAATTGTACAAAAGAATACAACAATATGTTTATTATGAAAGAACACAGCTGCAAGAATTCTAATACTGCACTCCATCAATTCCATATTTACAATTGATGCCATAGTACAATTAATGTTATTGGCTACTCATGGTTCCATTTAACAAAATAAGAATCAAAGCCCAATACACCAAACCAAAGGTGATCTACCTCATGAGCATTTGGAAAAATATAAATTCTTAGCTATATCCATAAATGCTTCAACCAGTTGTAAAAAAGAAATAGAAGACATTGACCATTGAAATCACAGCTGAAAAATTATGAACTTTCCAATACACAACCAATCAAACAAGTTGAACACAGAAGCAGAACCGTGCGGACCTGCCAAGTACCTTGAAGAACAGAAACATGAATACATGGTCAAACTTGCCATTAGCACACGTCGTGTTGGAGACACAACAATATTCCTCAGCATTGCACCAAAATCCTGAGTTTCATCTTCAACAGTGCTACATGAGTAATCAGACATACATACATCAACAAAAGTCACAACCCCGCATAAGAATAAACAACACCACCAATTAAAATGCACTCTCATGATCACACAGATTCAAACTTTGGCCAAAATCAAGAGTTTCATCTTGAAAAGTAGTACTACATGTGTAATCACTAATCAAACATGCATACATCAATATAAGTCACAACCAACAATGAAAGCACACTCTAATGATCAATGTCAGGCACAAAGATTAAAACTTTGAGCAATGTAACCACAAAAACAAACACCTACTTGCACTCTGTTATTGAAATCTTAGCTAGGAAGAACAATGGAGCCACATAATGTAATGGGGGGAGACCTTGAAATTAAGGGTTGGGGAGGAACGGCGTCGTTTGGCAAGTGTTGGGAGTGAGAGCAAACAGAGGACATTCCATCAAAGCAGATCTCACGGCGGCTAAGAACAATGTTTCTGTGGATTGGTACTCTCAGTGACCATAAATTGCATACTGATAATAATTGCATCTTCTATCCCACAAAAAAGAAGGAAAAAAATGGTGGGGTGGATTTGAATATGTAAAACTGAGTGAAATTTTGCAAACTTGGAAGCTGAATTTGGGGGAGACAGAGGGAGAGAGATAAGGGTGGTTCTATTTATGTTGTTTTGAATTTGAGATATTCATGCGATGTCTAAACAGAATCTTTGCTTGGATATTTAGAAGATGTAAAATATGATGAAGTGAATTGGAATTAAATAAAATAAATTTGTTAATTGATGGTTTAAATATTTTTTGATAGAATAAAAAATTGTTTGTTTCTTATACCTTTGATTAGAGAAAAAAAATATAGATAAAAAACTACTTTAAAAAACAAAACATACTTGATAAAAACTTGTTTTATTTTGTATAATTGGAAATAGTATATTTTTATTCTATATTTTATTTTACATACTTGGGCTTACTTGCTTTTTAGGCCCACCGAAGTTCAGCATAAAATTGAACTTGTTTAATTTTCGATAAAAAAAAAATATACTCAATTTTTTTATTAAAAAATATATTTTATTCTTAAATTCAACTTATTTATTTAACACAGATAAACAAAAACAAACTTAAATTTTAGCATAAATTTCACTTGTTTGATTCATGAATTAAATTTGTTGCACTAATTAATATTAAGTTGATTACTAACTTTAACAGCACTAATTAAAACATTGATTACGATTTTAACTAAATTTTTATCTTTTCGTATTAACTAAATTTTTATCTTCTCATAACAAAATTTATAATTTATTACACACATTAAATGTAAAAATTTTATTAAAATATAATTTTAATTTTAATTAGTAAAAAAAATCCACATTATTTTTATTATGCATTTTTGTTTTGAAGGCCAAACATGAGAAGATCCACCTTCCCCAAAGCCTGGCCCATGAACCACATTTTCATGGCGGCACTTCACTGTCATTATCAACCAGCCATTGTTAACCCTTAACCCTTACCAGACCTTTCCCTCCATTTACTCTCCTTCTCTCAAACCCACCCGAATTCCGAATATCAACAATTTCAATTCAAATAACACCCATTATTCTTCCTCTAATTTGTAAATTTTTTCTAGTATTTAAAAAACACACACAAAGCCCTAATTAATTCAAATGCTCCTCTTTTGTGCCCTCTTTCATTTCATCAATTGAATTGATTATTTTCCTCGTTCTCCATTCCAATGACTAGAGGCCCTGCCTCCTCTCTCTTGAACTTGTGCACACGTAAGAGAACCCTCTCTAAACTCCATTCTCTTCTCTTCAACCACTCCCAATTTCGCACTTTTCAAAACCCGCTTCGCCCTATTTCGACCCGTTTCCCCAACCCGGTTTTTCTCCCCAATTTCTTCCAACGTTCGAGTCTATCCGGCGACAGAATCCGACCCACGAGGCCCTTTTCCACCGCTGGGGACGAGGGAGGCAGCGTGGAGGCAAAGGAATGCGAGTTCGACGCAGATTCTGGTAAGAGTGTTGATTTTGAGCTTCGAAATGAGGTTAGTGATGGTGTTCATGCTTTTTCTGAACGCATGGTTGTTGCAAATGATTGTAGTAATGAATGCAATTTGGAGAGTGATGATTGTGTAGAATGTGGTAGTAGTGGCGAGGATGAGGTAAGGAACAAGAGTGAGCAATATGTGCACGTGGCATCACGTGATCCTGTCGAGTTGTACCGTGAGCTTCGGAGTGTGGAAAAGGGTCCAAAGCTTGTCAGATTAGAGGTGGAGATACTGCAGGAAGTGTGCAATTGGTTTGCCAAATCAGGTTGGGCATCCAACCAGGCCCTTGCTATTTACATCAGTTTGTCGTTTTTTCCCACTGCGGCGCACAAGTTCCAGAACTTTCTCCGGCGTAAATGTACTGATGATGTTGCTAAGTACTTGGTGTCACTCAGGCCGAGTGATGCGTCTAATAAGTTTTTGTTTCCTATATTTGTTGAGTATTGTTTGGAGAATTTTCCTGATGAGATCAAGAGGTTCAGGGGTATGGTGGAGTCGGCTGACCTCACGAAACCTCACACTTGGTTTCCATTTGCAAGGGCAATGAAACGGAAGATAGTTTATCATTGTGGACCGACCAATAGTGGTAAAACTTATAATGCTTTACAGCGGTTTATGGAGGCAAAAAAGGGGGTTTATTGTAGTCCACTCAGGTTGTTGGCTATGGAAGTTTTTGACAAGGTTAATGCAAAAGGCGTTTATTGCAGTCTGCTAACTGGGCAAGAAAAGAAGCGTGTGCCATTTTCAAATCATGTAGCATGTACTGTGGAAATGGTCTCAACGCAGGAGTTGTATGATGTGGCCATTATTGATGAGATTCAGATGATGGCAGATCGGCATAGAGGGTATGCATGGACAAGGGCGCTCCTTGGGTTGAAGGCTGATGAGATACATTTGTGCGGTGATCCTAGTGTTTTGGATATTGTCAAGAAGATCTGTCAAGACACAGGAGATGAATTGTATGAGCAGCATTATGACAGGTTCAAACCATTGGTGGTTGAAGCAAAGACCCTGCTTGGAAATCTTCAAAATATCCGATCTGGGGATTGTGTAGTTGCATTCTCAAGGAGAGAGATATTTGAGGTTAAGTTGCTCATTGAGAAGCTGACTAAGCACCGTTGTTGTGTGATATACGGTGCTCTGCCACCAGAAACTCGCAGACAGCAAGCTAGTTTATTCAATGATCAAAGTAATGAATACGATGTTCTGGTAGCTAGTGATGCAGTGGGAATGGGCCTCAACCTTAACATTAGAAGGGTGATTTTTAATAGCCTTTCAAAGTATAATGGTGACAAAATGGTTCCTGTGCCAGCATCACAGGTTAAGCAAATTGCAGGAAGAGCTGGTCGGAGAGGATGCCTTTATCCTGATGGACTTACCACAACCTTGCATTTAGATGATTTGAATTACTTGATAGAGTGTTTAAAACAGCCTTTTGATGATATTCAAAGGGTAGGCCTTTTTCCGTTTTACGAGCAGGTTGAATTGTTTGCTGGGCAACTTCCTAATATGACATTCAACCAGATTTTAGAAAAATTTGGTGAAAATTGCCGTTTGGATGGATCATACTTCTTGTGTCAACATGATCACATAAAGAAAATTGCTAATATGTTAGAGAACGTTCAGGGATTATCTCTAGAAGACCGTTTTAACTTTTGTTTTGCTCCTGTTAATGTCAGAGACCCAAAAGCTATGTACCATTTACTTAGATTTGCTACATCATTTGGTCAGAAGCTCCCTGTAAATGTAGCTATGGGCATGCCGAAATGTTCTGCCCGGAATGATGCAGAACTCCTAGACCTTGAGACTAGGCATCAGGTGTTATCTATGTATTTGTGGTTGTCAAATCACTTTGATGAGGAAACATTTCCATATTTTAAAAAAGCTGAGGCAATGGCTTCAGACATTGCTGACTTACTGGGTCAATCCCTCGTGAAAGCTAATTGGAAACCAGTGTCAAGGAATAAAGGGAAACCAAAAACTGAAAAAAGTGAAGGGCAATCAGAATCAAGGGGTGAAGTTGTATTGCAAACTGAAAAAAAGGAAAAAGGCCACAGGAGGCCGCAGTCTCTTATAAAATTATATGAGAAGTAAGTATTCATGTATTTATACCTTTTTCATCTAAGTGTTAATTTAATTTCATTATGTGTTGAATGCAAACATGTCTCCTTTTCTAGCAAACTGTTTTTACCATCTAAGCATATGCCTTCTTTATCTAAGTAGAAGGCCCTTGGATGGTTATGGTAGTGTGTTATTCTGTAATTCCATTGGCTTGTTGTTGGGGCATATAGATTGTGGCTACTGAAACCATTAGGGAGTACAATTCTATTAATGAAGGTAGTGTTTTCATGGGAAATATTTTCTGTTGCCCTTTTACTGTATTTTTGGCCTTCTGGATTTTATTTTATTTTTGGGGGGTGGGGACTGGGGACTGGGGACTGGGGACTGGGGACTGGGGGAGGGTGTATTGTGGAGGGTTTTCTTGTAACACACTCTATCATTGGTTTGTTTTCTAAATAGTCAATTTAGTTACATACATAGTAGTTAATCCTAGATAGCAACACTGAACAACTGATCCCAAAAACGCTATATCGGGATAGCAGATAGTGGGATGACCACTATTCTGAAGCTTAAAACATACCTAATATAAATTAAGCTACACACACACACACACACACACACACACACACACATATATATATATATATATATATGTTGAAAAATATAAAATTAGTACACATTAAATATATGTGCATAATTAATGATCAAAAGTGTTTAGTTTGGAACAAAACATAACGCATGTCAGTAACAACAAAATAAAGGATTCAACTATAGGTAGTTCTTTGGGACTAATTGGGAGGAGCAATCACTGCTTCTGTATTAGGCCTTTAAATTTGGAACAAAACAGAGAAAGAAAGAAATAATAAACAGCGAAGGAAAAGAGGAAAAAGAGTGTTTAGTTTTTGGAAAATGTTTGGGTTGCATCAGAAACTTCGTCGTAGATGAAGAAGACTACCAAAAACCTTTTGGTCATGTCGAAAACTTCCCCAGAGATGAAGATGACCAAAAATGTCTAGGTCACGTCAAAACATGTCGCCAGATATGAAAAAGACAACTGAATATGAAGAAGATGGCAAGAAGTTGGTTGGAGATGGTAACTCTTGATGTCACACCAGAGAAGCAAGAGGAACTGAAAGAATGTCGCACCAAAAAAGCAGGAGAAGCAGAAAGGGAGGAAATGTTAGGGTTCCACAAGGGAGAAGAAGATATAGGGGATGAAATCCAAGATTGCCCCCCTTAAAAGTCTCCCAACATTTAGAAAGGGAAGATAAAGTAGGGTTTGACCTAGAAAATGAAATAGCAGCCAAGATGGCCATGATTTGCTTTGTTCTTGGCCGCGATTTGCGGTGTGAGAGCCGCTACATTGAAATGTGGCGACAATGGGATAGCAGCACCCTGCCTCTCCACACCTTCACGATAGCAGCCACTATGGACACTATTGACTATTATGGTTACATATCTTGTAAATGGGACACTTTTTAAATTTCAAAGACTGGACCAACAATAGAGAATGCATTAAAGTATATGTTGCTAGCATTGTTGAGAAGGTGAGGTGAACACTGCTGTTAATTTGAAGCGTAGTTGTACAGGTGATCACCGAATTGGAAGTCTGGAGTTTGGATAAAGAAATAATTGCTTTGGAAGTCTGAAGTTTATGATTTATTAGACTTCAGTTAAGAATAATTTAGAAATCTACAAATAAGTTAGATGCTTTGTTTTTAATGCTTTTTAGGCCTATGATTGGTCATTTATGGCTCTATGGATTCAAGGGTTGAAACGTAATTATCGATCTGTATGTTCTTTAGATACCAAACTAAGAAACCTCCTTTCCTACATAAGTGGAATATGATCACCATTTTGCATACCAAATGTGCTCTAATATTGTGATTTGTGAATGATTAAGTAGTTGCCCTTTTTATTCTTCATGGTCTTAGTTACTTCTAGAACGCTCACCTCATAAATTCATGCTGCTGTGTAATTATTTACAATGCATGTAGTTAGGACACCTATAATTTTCATTCATAATTATAAGATTAAGTAGTTGGTTTAACTTACGAGTGTCTCAGGGCTAAATTACAATATGCTTTAAGACCACAAAATACATTTTGGTGCGGATCCTGTTAATTTAAAATTATTATATTATGTACTTAATTAAATGAGAGAACAAATTATAATCAGATTAGGCCTTCCAGAAGAAATTTTCAATCTCACAATTTCTTTGGGGTCTGTAGGACATGTTTGAGAATTTTACTTGGTTTTTTGGGTTGCTTTATAGTTCCAGAGCTGTCAATTTATATGAAGGAAAAAAAAAACCCTGCAATCTGATTTATTTGTAAAGATTAAACATGGTAGAGAAAGTGTTTCCTTGATTTATTTGTAAATATTATGGTTTCAAGATTCAGCTGGGCATTAAAATTGATATGAAGTTTGAAAGGTCTTTGGTAAAACTAAACATGGTTTTGATTAATTGAACAATGGTTTTGAAGTACACATGAGCAAAGCTGTTTGTTATGTCTATAACTTATAATTAGGGGAAAATAATAAAATATCAAGTCAATTAAAAGTAAATAAAATTACTGGCCCTTTGTTCCTCCCTTGACCTCTACTTTTTTGAATTTTACTTGTCTTCTAGATTCATATTGGTTTATGTGATCTAGTATTCCTTTTTTCTGTCTTCTGTTTATGTCATGATCTTAGTTAATAAAATGATGTCTAATGCTTATATCTTTCATTCCTAACTAGGAAATATTTTTTGTTATTCAGGAAACGGTGTGAAGATTCCTTACAGCTTGATCGGTCAAAGGAAATAGCTGCATAATATGATTGATGAGTTTGGAGGTAGTTCTCCTAATATATTATTCTCATTTTAACTCTTGCAGAAAACGAACTGCCAAATGAACATATACCTAAGTTTAATCATATAGTTCATGAAATTGATATGAAAAGTTGCTCTTACTTTCTACTTCAACGGGGCCTTCTCATTTTTAAATAATTTTAGATTGAATATGGTCCTTTTTACATAAACAAAGCCCAGGAAGACAACCAAAAAGTAACCTGTAGGAAAAGTTTTGTTGCTAGAACCTAGAGTGGTGACATTGGGATTCCTTTGTCAAGTTGAATTTTCAGTGGCAAGTTCAACTGTTTATCTCTGAATCAATCTTTTCTGTCATATACCATTTGAGATTTTTGCAAGTTATCAGAAAAAAAATAATTTTCTGATTATGTCAATACTCAATAATACTACAATTATCATAATTAAAATAAATGGAATTGTTCTGTCCCAGTGATCAGATTTTGCATGTATCCTTTCTTTGTGATTTTCTGTACTCTTTTAAGCAATGGAAATTAATATTCAGTTTTTCCAAATGGTCTTCTTAGGTTCCAGTTGTCCCCTCATTGTTACAAGTCAAAGTGGTCTGAGCTTATTTTATTGGAGGTTTAGCTACCCTCAAAATCAGTCCTAGGGTTGATGTTAAAATTTGTGTTTTTTATTTCCTAGGTTGCATAAATAGTTAGCTTATATACAGCTTACTGTTTAGTGACGTAGGAAAGTCAGATAACAAATATAGGAGCGTCTTAAATATACACCTTATTTAAGCATTTATTCAATAAACTCTTTTTAAATAACGACTTATGTCCTAATTTTAATGAGAAACACATTGAAATAAGTTGAAAATAGTTTATTTTGGTAAGCTTTACCAAGTAGCTTATTAAAATAAGCTGAAAACAGCTTATGAAGTCTTGAGTGTTTTCATAAATTGTTCATCAGCTCTTCCACATAGGCTCAAATACATCTGAAGTTTCACTTTTTTTTCCTAGGTACATAGTAAGTTACATTTTTCAATGAATCGTTACTATTAGTATTCCTGTCGTCTGTAAATTAGCTCCCTCCAACAACCATAATGGTTTCATCTTTGGTGTGCAGGTAATAATCAACAAACCCTAGGTACAAAGTTGTGTGAATTAGACCACATTGGCAATGCATGGACAAAAAATAGGAAAGACCGCGTTAGGAATGAAGAATAGTAACATCCATAGAAAGAAAAACCTACTACTAGGACCAGGCATTGTGCAACCTGTTTGTTTTAGTAGATAACCCAAATTGGGGTACTGTTGTGGTGTTGCAACTATTCTGTTTTGTACTCAATTCAAATGTAGCCTTGAAATTTTGTTGAATTATATGCCGACACCTTGAATACAAGGTTTAATGTTTTAGGCTCCATCATTCTTTTCTATATAGTTGAATATCCTTTTTTCTGCCAAATCCACTGACTTGAGCAAGCTTTTGCTAAGGAATAGGTTATTCTGTCAATAAATCCACCGACTTTAGCATTTTTGTAAAATTTTAAAAAAATTATTTTTCCTCTAAAAACCTGTATTTTTCTTTAAAATATACTGAGATTTTATTTAGACATTTCAGCATGGTAAAATGCTTTATGAAAAACAAATACATGTCATTACACAATGAAGTAAAAAAGTAAAAATAGAAATTGCTAACCAAAATCCTTCATACAAGATTCACGATTTTATCATGCTATTTAGCTTTTATTATTATTTTATTAACAAGCATAATATTCATTTATGTCAGCGCTTAGAGAAATTAGATTTTAAAGTGTTTCACACTTGGGGTTCACTGTAAAACATTGAAGATCATGACGAATGAGTATTGCTTTGAGATGGATTTAAGGTTATGATGTGTAAAAAGGATAAATAAAGAATCTCTAATCTAAGCGGATTGACAATAATTGAATGGGTCAGTCATTATTTTCATGTATGTTAGGACAAACGTGTGAACATTTATCTCGGCCCAATATTTGAATTTCGAACTGGATCAGACACAGCTGTCCCTAAGCCCATATATTTAAGGCCCAACCATTACTCAACCCAGCTAACCCTTAGCCAACTGGACCAACAATTGCGTACGAATGATCAGCATGATTTGGACAAAATGTTGATATCATGAATACAAATAGAGCTTTAAGGAAGATATAGCTGAGCTCCTAACAAATAGCAATTACAAACATTCCGGAAAGGAACACAAGGGACAGTTATATTCAATGGATCCACTGTTGGATGGGTCAATGAAAGATTAACATGAATAGGTCTTCACTTGCATTGAGCAACTAAGTTGATACTCGCTTTAACACAATCGGGGATGGGAATTGAACCGGTCTTAAAAACAGTTTTAAACATAATTTCAGAGGGTGAAGAAATATATTAATCAATGAATCGACGAACCAAAACGCAACATTTTATTTGCGTTGATTTGGTCATGGAAACTAGCAAGACAATAAGTTGCTAAACACTGCCAATAGCCTGAAGAAAAATCTCAAAGACAAAGTATTCTGTTACAAAATTACTTTCTAGTTTACAACTACTCTGCACAATCATCACGGGGGAAAATTGTATAGCAATTCCAAAATTTGCCTAAGCCTCCCATAAACGGCTCCAAAGTGAAACTACAAATAGTATACAAATTCTAGCCAAGAAGAAAATAAGGATGAAAACTATCCCAGAGAAAGTAATTTCCCATCTCCGGTAACTTGCCATTAGCAACATCACCGGCCATTTTCTCGTGTGATTTTAGGACTAAATTATACAGGTTAGAAATTAAAGGGTTTCTAAGAAATGGATTGATAGCTCTTCCAAGCACAACTACATCTGATAGAAGTAGTTTGGCATCATTGTTGCCAGATACAAGAAAAATGCAGTTTGAAAGAGCATAGAAACCGAGTAAATTTGCATATAAGGGTAAAAATGCATCTTTATGGTTACCTACGCCTCCGATCCACTCATTTCCTTCCTCTTTCCCTATATGGTCTTGAGCATATGACACCAACTGATGGGAAAATCTATTTCTCCATCCATGTAAATAGCTCCTGAATTCATCTTTGTCAGCCCAGAACTTCAAAATAGGTAGCTTTTCCATATTGGAGCAACAAATTTGGCTGATCAACAGCTTCTCTTCATAATGATTGTCAATTTCCTTGTCAAAAACCCGTCTCACAAGATCTCCTCGGGGTGCTACATAGCTTTCGGCACATAATACCCACTGACAAAGATAATTGAAGTAATCGATCCAGTGACCAAAAATGGAAGAGAGATGGTCAAAGCAAAATCTTATCACTCTATCTACTTGGATTGGAACCAATCCAGGAGTAAGGTTGCTTCTAGTTCTTTCTGTAGTAAAACACTTCTGAACATCAGAAGAAAGCCTCAATCTAACCAAGTCATCTTCATCTTCCAAAAGCTTGATGCCTGTGAACCATGCATCTAGTACATGATGAGCATACAAATTCACAGCTTCTTCTTTCACAAAACAAGATGAAATGCCGAAGGGAATGTGGTTATTCAAAACAACCGAGCCCAGGAGCCTAGCCTGCTCAAGCAAACCAGATGCTATCAAAGATTCAGCTGCTGCCTGACGCATACTTGTCGGTTCAGATGGTGAACTACATCGTTTAATCATGTTACAGAAAAAAACAATGCAGTCAAATAACCAACTCAACATTTCCTGATTAATTCCACCACATGCTGTAAGTTCCATTCCTTCATTGGATAGGATAGAACTAGCAAACAACATTGTAATTCTCTTAATGCATACTCCAAGACAGTGAACAAGGGTTTCTCGGGTTTTTGCATGTCTTGTTTGCTTGTACAACGAAACCAATTCATTCCAAAATTGCAACACAGAGTTGAAGTCCATTTCACCAACAGAACTATTTTTACCAGTGCACTTGTCACAGCTAGTGTTTTCAAATTGCTGCAAATTCCAAGCTACAAGGATCCTAAGAATGTAATATGTACATCTGTAGTTCCTCTCTGATGCCAAAATCTTCACCAAGGTTCCATTTAGGTTAGCTTTTGCCCAGAGTTGAACAGCCCTGATGTCATTACTGGAAAGATCGTAGAGCTTATCACAAGGTTCAGCCACTTTCAGGAACTTCAGCAACCACTTCAGTGTTGCATATCGAACTTCATATAATGAGTCTGATAAGCAGCGAATCAACCTATCCAAAAGACCAACAGATGCATTTGCCATTTCATTTTCACGCAATGATTCTGAACTTGGAAGAGAATGTCTCGGTGGCAAATGGATTATCTCTTCCTCATCCTTGGATGCTTGGAAAAAACATCCAAAATAGGAAATGGCTGCTTGCTCACGAAGTTCAGCAACAGTTGGATCATAATATGGCAGGCCGTATGATTCTAAATCCAAGCATTCTGTTGACAACTCCAAAAGCAGGTTGCGAATGGAATAGAAATGTTTGGTGATCTGGCATCTTCTTGCAATATTAAGCATCTGATCCAGAACTCTTAAGAATGTTTCATTGAGGATAGGGCACGGGCAATGAGTAGGCTTGGCAATCCATGATCGGAGTACAAGAATTTGGATAAGCTCACCAAGGATATGGTCTTTCTTAGAGTTATCAGCAAGATTTCGACAATTTACATCTAGCAGAGAAGTTAACTGCAAGAGAATTCCATGAATAAAGTTGAAGGAGATACTGTAAGAACCATGTGCTGTACATGCAACCACTGGAAAATTTGTTGATTTGCCCAGTTTATCAACACAGGGCAAGTCAGATGCAATATTGAGAAGGACTGATGACAATTTCTCATTTGATACCAGACTTGTTAGAGCTCTAGATGCAAGAACACGAACTCTTAAATTACTTTGGGTTGAGCACCTCCTAATCCATGGCATGAAAAGGAAAGGGTCTAGCTCATCTCCTGTCTCACCAGCAATTGATGAAGGCCTGAGCCTAGATAAAAGAATTAGAATAGGGTACAAGCTAGGATGGAGATTATTTCCCCGGATGGATTCCAAGTCTCCTGAAGATGCACAACCCAGAAACTCTGTTGCGACTTCTAGTTCCTTGAATAAAAATGAATGCAGTGACGGATACCTGGGTCCAAAAAGAATATAAAGAAGTCAATAGTTGTTAACTATTTGCATTATCTCTGACATAGGCCCTGTTTAGGTGAGTTTGTGGATAAGTCCTTAAGAAAACAAAAATAATATAAAAATGACTCATCTCTTCAAGTTTTAGAAAAGGTAAATAAGAGTAGCTTCTAAAAAATAGAAAAGTATAAGTTAATTTTAACTTATGGAATGAACTTTATTCATCTTTTTATATTGTTTTTCTTCTCTTACAAGAACTTATCAACAAGCTCACCCAAACTGTGCCATAGTCTCATAACAGACTGCTATATATAACTATTGAAAGTAAACATAAACTTAAGGCCATAGGCTGCATATAACCCAGGATTTCGGGAAAATATTTCCAAAAGCAGATCAATGTATGAATTATACTCAAAATATTAGGATGTATTTTTACCAACAACCTTCACCCAAATTCATTATTTTCTCAGTGTATTTACTTATAATATGTGCTTGATCATAAGATTTTGAAGGAATAAAACCTGATTCCATACAATCAAGTTTTCTGCCATTTATTTTCTTCCATTGGTGATTTCAATATCAACCTTCTTAATTGAATATATTCTCTATGGTTATACCAGTACATAATATTAAAATTCAAACTTTGATTGGTGCTTAACAGAGTAGATATACGCATTTTTAGAAAGAATTAATGACTAACAAATAATTAAATTTATGACTTATGAGTTATCAATCATCAAATGAAATTGTTATTTTGACATATTAAGACAATTATTAGAAAAATTATGTAAACTTGGTATTCAAATGTTTTTTCTAATGAATGTTATAGATGCTGAATAAATAAACTAACTCTCTTATAGCAAAATATATAATTTATATTACTCCAATCCATTAATTAGTACTATATTATTGTAATTTGATACACCCTCTTTTATATATTTTTAAATAACTATCTTATTCCAATTTTCATTCCTCTTATGTTTAAATTTTAATTTGATATCATTGTAAGGAAATGTTAGCAACATACTTTTCAATACACCCTTTTGGGCATCCCAATAATTGGGTGAATTTCATGTTAAGTCTCACTAAACACAGAGCGGACCCAAGTTATTTAGTAGGACCACCCAATAATAATAAATGTGTCAAAATGCGTGTGTTACTAGCATTTCTCCATCATAATATATATGATTCAGAGCACAAAAGTAGAATTAGTTGGCATATTGGGCTTCTTTAGAAATTAGAATGTGTCCAATAAATGCTTCCAACATTCATAGTCAACAGATAGACAGGTTTATAATCACAAGTATCTACCTCAAAACATTATTCGTGGGTATGGCAAGCAGTACCAAAATTTGAAGACCATCAAAGCTCCAGGGATACTTACATGGAACAACGAAAAAAATTTTACCAATAAATTTCTCAGATTAAAAATATGAACATGTCCTTATCAGACAGAATGTTTCCAATAATAAAGGAGAGCTAAAGTAATCAGATCCAATGGTCAAAACATACCTATGGAAAAACTCAAGCCCAGTTAGTGCTCGCCTTGCTGATTCCCGCTTATGAACATTGAGGAATCCAATCATACGACGAACCAAAGCAGTGTAAGCCAGACAAGCACTGTTTCTGATCTCCCAGTATGGAGAAGAAAAAGAGCGAATAGACAAAATCAAAGCTTCAGCAGAGAAACCAGATGTATCAGTACCCAAGTTAGAGTCATTGAATGCAGCTCTTAGAACATTAAATGCATGTACTGTAGGAATGACACCCTCATCTCTGATCTTTGACAACATCTGTCGCGCATTTCTTTCAGCTGTCTGTGTAAAATTATTTTCTTCAGTTGAATCATTTGACTTGCATGGCTCACCATTCAAGCTATTGCTCTCAATCTGATGCAGCATAGACCCATTACCAACATCTATAAGCCATCTCAGTGCCCATGGGAGGAGCTTTTTTGGGGTGCCTTCTGGCTCTGAGAGAAACAGCGCAGTAAATGCAGCAGGTATTCCAGCACTTCTTCTCAGCAAGTCATCCACTACCTGTCCTTTTGCGACAGTTCTTTGCATAAGTTGTTCCATCCAGGACTCTGTCAATCTATGAAGTCTGAAAATGAAGATACACAACTAAGAAGTGGCAAAACAAAAGACTTCTGGTATGATGATTTGATCATAATGACATATCCTTCCTTATTTTAAGTCAGACAAACATAATTCTCTTTTCATTATGTATATGAGGGTACATGACATAGGTCAAGAATCTTCATTACAGCTGCAAATGCATTGTCTGACAAGATCGTAAATAAGACTTTTACAACACATTTATCACATACATTTGCATTAGAGTTTTTATTGTATGGTATAAGCAAAGAAAACTGGAATCTAAAAACCTAATTGCTTTAATATTTATCAGCAAAGCAAAGATACTAAAAAAGCAATGAAAACCACCTACTTGAGTAATTACTATTTGAAATAGCATTGTCAATAGCAGATTGCAGAAAATCGTGAAAAACCAAAATACAGCAATGTCATACAGCGGATAGTGTGGTGGGCAAATAGCAAACATCACATGACGGTTAAAATATGCAAGTTACATGTATAAAAAATTAAGCAGTATATGAATAAAATAAGCTACATTAAAAAAAAGCTATATAAAAAAGGTGACATAGGATTTACTCAAGTCAAAAGTTCAACTTGAAGAGGATAAAGTTGAAATAGAGGAGGAAAAGAGAGATGAGTGTTAAAAAATAAAAGTGAAGGTCCGAAGATGATACACATGAAGAAAGAAACAAAAGGTAACAAAAAAAAGGGAGAAGTGAAACTGAGAAAGATCAAAGAGGAGAATAAAGAAGGGGAAAAAAAACAGCAGAAAACTGCAGTACATGACTCGCAGGAGACAACAGTGCTTCTTGGGGACTGGCTGGAGGCAACAGTGGTTGCTGGAAATGATTGCTGGAGGAGGTGCACTGCATAGGTGATGAGAAAAAAGTGTCTATGTTGTACTCTATTTTCGTTTTTCTAAACAGAGGAGCTTAATGAGGAAAGAGAAACTAGCCGGAGACAACAGTACTCACCAGAGACTAACTGAAAGCAACAGTGGTTGCCAGAGATAACACGCAGAGGACATGCACTGAGTGGGTGGTAAGAAATGATTGCCTATATTGTGCTCATGTTATGCTCTGTTTTTCGTTTCAGCAGACATAGAAGGTGAATGGAGGGCAGAGAGACTGTTCCTCTTCAAAATTAGTCACTGGAGTAAGTAGTGACTATTCCTTTATTTAAAAAAAAAAAAAAAACAAAAACAACCCTAAAACTATCCAATCCACTATTTCCACTTCATATACAGTATCCGCCACATGAATTGCGTCCACCATTTTGGAAATGGCAAAACACGCAACACAATAACCATTGTATGGCGGCAAGTTCAAAATCTGCTCCGCAAAAATGCAATACAATAGTTGCTATTTGACAACACTTTTGAAAGCACAAGCATGGAAACTTCGACAACTTAGACTTAGCATGCAGTCAAGAGTGGATCCAATGAAATCTTCTTTGTACAAGAGTTACACTCCAACTGCAGCAAAGTGCAACATAGATTGCACATTACCACAAACATAGAGAACCATACTAATATTTACTTCAAGTTTCCTGATTTGTTTCGTTAGTTTATTTGATTAGGATTAGGAGTATGGTACAAGTCAAGGCAGTCAATAGCACGTAATAACACAGCATTACATCGTGCCAGGTGGCCACTACTGGTGTTCATTCTTGTCGTGCTTTTGGGCTGCAAAGTTGAGATTGCTGCAATGAACAAGGTTAAAACCATCTTTAACACCACCACAAATTTTCCAATTCCAAATTCCAATCATTAATTAAATTCTCACACAATTTAGGGTTGGAAACCCTTCTTCCTCAATCATTCACACCAAAAACTTGACCTCTGTTTTGAACTCTGACATCTGACCCTATGTGCCACAGCTTGCCAGCATCATTCCAGCGAAGCCTGGAATTTTCTGGCACACCCACAGCTACATCTGGGTAAGTGCTTTGAATTTGTAATTGTATATTTGTATCACATAACTACACACTACATCTACATAATCTTCTTAGTGAGCATTCCTTTCCTCTCTCTTCATCCTACTACACCCAATAATTTCAACAATAAAAAACTATCTTAACATGTAAAATCAATAAAGCATTGCATAGAAAAAAAAATTAACAAAATTCATACTTCAGGTCATTTGAGCAAAGTAAACGATTGCAAAGAGCAGTGAACCCAGCCCTTGTCTTATCAATTGCACCATTATGCTTCATCTTCAAGAGGACTTCTAAAAAGTGATTCCCAATTGTTTCAAGTTGTTCCAAATCAAGCACAGAGTCTGATGAGAAGCCAGCAGTGTCAACAGAAGGCCCATCTAACTCAGATAAATCTGAAGAAGCATTACTTGGCAATGGTACCTTTCTTATAATAGTACCCAAAAGAAGGCTCACCTGAAGAAGAAAACACAGTGAAAAAACAATAGCAACTAGGGGGAAAATCCACACTTATACATCACACTCTGAACAACTTTTACTCAATTTTTGATATAAACAAACAATAAGCTATAATTGTAATTATCTCTTCTTGGTATCATTTTTATAAATATAAGCAAGTTTAAGGAAAATATTATTATCATCAAAGAAATAATTAATCATATATATTCTTTCTGTTTTCCCCTTTCAAAAAGCTAAGCTTAATACTGTACTATAGTCCAATACAATTAACAGTTCTTACACATTGTTTCAGTTAAGTACCTCTTTCATAGCCAGCCAGCAACCAACCATGACAATCTGCTCTGATGATCTGACATCATGGGAAGGCTTTGAATTATTATTCTCATATTCAGATGAAGGTATATGCTCATGATCAGGTATCTCCAGCAAAAGATTATCCTCATCAAGCATCTCATCCATGTCTTCAGGCAGACACCAAGCATCAGCAGAAACCACCCATAGTGCCAATGAAGTTATCCTCACTACAAGCTCTAAAAGTCTTCCCAACAAATACCTCAGCTCTGAGATGCCAGAAGATATGACAACAGAATTCCAATCTAATTCCTCAAAAGTATAACGTAAAGCAAGTAAGACACCATGGACAAAGCTGTTCTTGCATGCTTTAGAAAGATCTTGTTCTCCATCTCTCACAGCAGCATCCAACCAATCAATCATCGATTTCAAATACAGTATCACAGGATTCCTGAATTTCCTAGACTGATAAGCTTCATTTACCAATTCAGACTTTGAGCTTAAATGAACAGCATTGAAAGAATCTTCAATCAACCAACCTAGCTCCAAAACATACTTTCTAAATATAAGCCGTAAAGTTAGAGCTCCAGCATCACTTTCCCTTACACGTGGACTGCAAACTAATTTCATAGCTGAAGCAATTAGCTTCTTTAGCGTGTCTTCACTTGAAATACCAGGTAGTGGGGTTGGAAAATGGAGTAATATGTGAAATGAACTCTCTCTCAACCTGTCCCAACTATCAATAATTGAACCAACTAACAATAGAGTTGAATCAGATGAAGTCATTCCCTTACTGTAAGGATAGAGATTATTTCCTGATAAAGAACTATTAAACTCCTCACTACTTGATGACTTAATAGACCACACATTTATCATAATCAAGATGAGACCCATTGCCATTATTTTTCTTTTGTAAGGAGCAGAAGGATAGCATGAAAAAAATAAAAAGCCACTCAACCACCTCATAAAATGAAAAAGATCATCTGCCCTTTCAATTGTCAATTCACTATTCCCTTTTGAATGATACACTTCATTACCTTTATTATTCTCGAGAGGGTTCCAGCTTCCTTGCTTGAATTGTCTCTCCAGGGCTGTTCGAACCCTAGAAAAGAACTTACGGAACAAGCTGCACCACTTCATCTGGAAAGCTGAGGAGCAACATCTCATATTCAGAGGCACGGCTTCCTTCATTAGAGTGAGCTCTAAATGAGAAGGCAGACTAGATGTCTTGGGGTTTAAGAAAAGAGACTCAGCAGCATCTACACGTAGTGACTCGTCCACATGAGTCAATGCATTTACTAGCCACTGAACACAGATCTTAACATTTATTCCCTTTATGCAAACAAGAGCATGGCTTTCTATTCCCAGACCAGGCTCTTTTCCATTTGCTGAAGGATTTTCAGACCAATCAATGTCTCCTTCAACCAAAGCAAGTGACCGAGATACTTTTAGCAATGAAACTAGAATTGCAATTCTCTGTTCAAGATTCACCTCCATGTTTGCATTAACAAGTTCTGGATAATGCAGTCCATTTTCATCCCCATTTGGCCCAACTGAAATGAAACTAAGCATGGGAAATATACTATCCACATCAATTTCCAGTAAAACTGGAAGAGCATAAGTATTTAAATTAGTGCGAAGTTTTGAGAATCCAGAAGCTAGCCCATACAGAATTGGGGGAAGACAATGCCGTCTGTACAGAGAGTACCCACCTTCAATTCCATCAGTCTCCCAGCACTCATCACGCAAATACTCAAGGAAGCACTTTAGAAATGATGTGGCTGCACAGCAGACATCGTCATCAACATATGCCTGTATTGTCTCAAATAACAGGTCTGGCCTCATATCTAACATTTTTTTTGCTCCCAACCTCTTGGTCAGCAACGCTAGAGGAACATATCTCCCCTTACATCGTGACCCCAGGGAAAGTAGATCCAACCCAATCTTCTGTAAAAACTTGTTTATTTTCTCACCACCCTCTGACCAACAGAGAGAAGACTGAATATCCAAGAAAAGATCAAAAATGAGGTGAACTTGTTTCACCGTCTGACTCAATGGATCCTCCAAGTTATTCCAAATAATCCTAAGTATCCGCATTCCCATTTCCTCAGGAAGAGGATCATATCCTCCTGACGTATCAGTCAGATTTGACAATAACGACGTCTTTATCTGCTGCAAACAAATTTGCATCACAGTCAACGCATGAAAATTGAAATGGCCATCAACAGGATTTTCACAGTACTTGCACAGCTCAGGCAAAATCCCATCATACAACACAGTCTTAAAACTCATACTTCCACCGACTCTTGGAACATCACAGCCGTTAACATCACCAAAACGAGTGTTCAACAAGTCTCTAGAAACCGCAGTAAGAATCCCTCTAATAAGACAAAGCCTACTCAACACAGAAAGACCACATATCCCTTCATACACATCCCCTTCACAAGGAACCTTCCGAATTGCATTCCTAAACTCACTATCACAACAATCACCACCCGAATTCAAATCAAACAGGCCGCGAATCAAAACCAGCCCAAGCTCTTCCAAACTGAGACAAACCTGAAGAGCCGCACAGAAAGCCACACCAGCAGCCACAAAACAATCCCTAGAAAATGCATACGAACTCAAAACGCTCAAAACGACAATCACAACCCCTTCCATAACACTCGAACAACCCGCACCGTTCTCTGAACCAAACTTCGAAGGAAACTTCTGAAGCAAGTAATACAAACAAGACAACGCCTCCTGGCTCTGTTCCATCACAATAGGAGAAGGACGAGCCAATTCACCGGTTTCCGAAACGACGCCGTTTAAACCGTGAACCGCATCACAAGCCACCAAAACGGCGCAATCTTCAACAACGTCAACGAGGAAGCCGAGCTTGGGAAAGCCGAGAACGGAGAGCGCGGCGCGTGACACAGCAAAGGGCTTCCCCTTGCGCGTGTAGTCTTGACAGAGGGTTTTGAAGGAAGCGGCGACGGTGGAATGAAACGCGCGGGTTTTGGCGAGTGAAGAGAGTAGGGTTCGGTGTAAGGGAAGGGAGTTATCGAGGAAGAGAAGTTCGAGATAAAGGGAGGAAGCGAGACGAAGCTGAGGTTGGGAGGGAGGTTCGGGGAGGGAGAAGAGCAGGGAGAAGGTGGAAGAGAGGTGTTTGGTGTGGGAGAGTTGGGAGAAGGTGGAGGAGAGGGAAGTGAGGTGGAGGAGGGAAGAGTGGAAGGGAGAGAGGAGGGGGTGGGAGAGGAGTTGGCCGAGGGAGTCGAGGAAGGAAGGGGGGAAGACCACGGCGGTGTAGGTGTAGCGGTGGCGGTGCTGGAGGGCGCGCCACTTCGCCGACGACATGTTTGCTGAAATGTGAGACAGATAGAGTTGGTTTTTTGGGTTTTCAAGAGAGATTTTGGAAGGGAGGAGGCCGCGCAGGATCTCGCTTCGGCCGCTCCCTCAGACCTTGGTCAGCGTCACAAATGGAGGTGTAATTTATTGGTTTCTTCTTTTCATATCATATGTTATAGCATAGCTCTTCTATTTTTTATTTTTTTTTTCTATATATAGTATTGAGTTATTTTTTAGATAAGAGTATTTTAATGAAATTAAATAAGATTATTTTAAAAAATTATTTTTATCATGTTATGTATTATTTATTATTTATTTATTATAATTTATTTAACATATAAAAATTATATATTATAAATCTATTTCTTTTAATATGTAATTTATAGCATATTTGTTTTTAAATATTTACATTTGAATGTCTATGAATTCACATTTATTTCAATGCTACAAATTATAGTTTTTATATTATGTGTTTACAAATTTTTAAAAAAACACATTGTAAAGATATATAATATAAAAGATACAAAATTTAATGTATTATAAATCACAATAATATTAAATATTATAGATTTTAGACTATTTATTATTTTTTTATTATGTATTTTTAGACACATTAAAAAGATTAATGATAAATTTAGTTATAATAAAATATTTATTATCAATAATAAAAATATTTTAATTTAAAATAATTATATCATATATCTTAAATTTGTTTGTTTAAAAAAAAATTGATAAAAAGGGAAAAAAAAACAAATTACGAGACATGTTAACAATATAGAATTAAAAGTCTAAAAAATATATATAAAGAATGAGTGAAAGAAATCTTTAGACAAAAGTATCAAATTAACTAATTTATCAACTAACTTCACAAATTACATGACACATGAGCATGTGAAATAAATTTTACGTAAGATGATAAATATCCTATAAACTAAAACACACTTCAAGAAAAAATAATTTTGATTTTTTCACCATAAGGTAAAATACATTTTTATTCAAAAAAATGCATTTTAACTTAACAATAAATGCTCAGTACACCAAAAAATTTCTAGTAAAAAATAATGCATAACTTAGCTTTTTTCAGAAGTTGATTTTTAATGTATCATTATTTAAAAAGTTATTTCCCTTAAAATTTCATTTAACAACCTCCCTTTTTAAGAAAGAAAATAAAACCCAAAACATAGAGTTAGAACCAATCGTAAAGAGGGGAAAAAAAACCTATTACCAGATTGGAGAGAAAGAAAACCTAAAAAAAAAAAAAATAAACACTCAAGAGTGTAGCTCAAAAAATGTCAAATACACTCAAGAAAACATATCACACTCAGCCAGTAGGCAACACGAGATCCTGCATAGATCTCAAATCATTTTGGTTTCAAACAAATCTCTAACCCACTAATAAGCATACTGTGACCCAATCACCCATATATCCCATGCTCCATTATAATAAACAGCAAATCAGAATAATTTCTTTACAGTTTCCAAATTAAAAGAGCTTCCCCTTTGTATGAATTTTCTTCCTCAGGCAGTGTGGTTGATGAAATAATTCCACATCCAAAATGATTGAAAAGTATATTACTTTTGAGAGAAATATGCTAAAAAGGATATTCGGTTTATTGTTGTCGAGAAAAGTAAGAAGCTAAAAATGATATTCTAAGTTTTGCAGCCTAAAAGAAGTTGATTCAAGCGATCTAACAAGCCTAAGTTTGTGTTGAGTATGAAATGAAGAGATACACTACTTTCTGCAATTTGGGATGAGCACAACTTATGACAGACAGAATCACATAGGTGCCATGCCAAAAGCATTTTGACAGAGCAAGACAAAAGACAAAAGCACATACTGTTCAAGCAAGATAGCGGTACAGTTTTCTGTCCACTTTATCCCTCTCCAAAAACTCACGCTCTATAAGGGATTCAATCCGTTTTTTAATAACAACAGGATTAGGCAAAAATCGTGACTGTAGCTGCTTTGTGACCTCAGCAACGATATTATTATGATCTAGAGTTCGCCTAGATTTCATTATCCTCACAATTGCTGCTTCAATCTGTGGCTTTCTATCTTCTTCCACTCTTTGCCGAGTTTCTAGATTTTCGGGTTCAGACTCCCTCTGTGCAACAACAGTCCCTATCTTTACCTTGAAGAATTTGCTTGTGAATTTGTCATTAACTAAGAATGCATCATCCTCAGCTATGTCCTTGCTCATTGGAACTTTTTGTAGAACATTCTTTCCTTTGACACAGGCCAGAGACTGAAGGCACCTCCTCAAATCTGACATGGGTATTGCTGTTGCCTGCTCTATCTCCTTACAACTCAACTTATCAGCATTGTTGAAAAGCATGAGTACACACATCTGGTAAGTGGAAACATTCAGCTCATGCTTCTGCCCCTTACCAAATATTGCTTTTAAATCAGCTGTCCCCATATTAGTTTGCCAGGACAATCTCCTACCATTGTGGGTGCCAAGATAATAAGTCCGAAACTTATCACATACACTCAGGATTTCTGATGGAAGATTGCACTGAGGACTAGGTTGAGTTGGCCATGATCCTGTTGTAAGCACCTGGACAGATAGGGTAGGGCTATCCCCCAATTCAGCACCATGGCATGCATAGAAACCCTGCATCGTATCATAAGAAGTCTTCATATCGGTAAACATACCCTCTAACTTAGAAGTGAATTGATATCCACACTCTGTTTTGAGCTTAACAATCAAACTTCTTTCAGCATCATCAGATATAGTCTTCCCCGAAAGAAGCCTTTTTGCCAAGTGTTGCTTGTAATACTTTTCAAACACATCCTTCTCTTGTAGATACCGGAAAAGCATCATGACTTTGTCTAGTACAACCTCCACATCCTCCTCACCAACCCCTTTCAATTCTCTGCGAAGTTTGTCATCGACAAACAATGAAATGAACTCCGGAGACCGGGCATTCAAATTGATGAAATATTCAAAAGAGGAATTCAAGGCATTCTGAAATGTCTTGTCATTGTTAAATGCCATAGTAATAACCCTATCATATTTATCCTTCAAATCCAAGAGACGTTGCACAAAATCCACAGGATCTTTCAACCTTTCAGGATCCATGATTAGCTGCTTACCAGTATCCCGTATAAAAGAAGTCATGACTTCTTTAACAATTGAAAGCCCAGCAGGCACCCTGCGAAACAAGTTATACATTCTTCCCAAGTCCTCATATTTGTCATCCACAAGCATATTAACTAGGCCTGAGTTCTCCATATGAACTAGAGTGTTCATATGACTTTCAATCATCTCTTTCTCCACCACATTAGTTATCTTTGACTCGCTTCTAGGATCCAAGTAGTGAGATACTCTCTCCATTTCTTCATTTAAACGTCTCTCGGCTTTCTTCAGATAATCTCCACAATCACAAGATTCAATGAATTTCTGAGACTCAAGACGGTAAAAATTTGCTGAAACATCCAGAAAATGCTTCTCAAAGTCCTGCTGGTAAACAAGCAAACCCAAATCCATTAGCATCTTAATTATATTTCTCATCAAGCCTCTGTTTATTACTTCACCATTCCTTTCTCTAAGAACAAGGTCAAGAAGTGTATCTAGAAGCCTAGCCTGGGTTTTGCTGGAATGGATCACAACATCTCTCCAAAGATTCAATCCAAGCTCATGAACAGGAGTTTTATGGTTGCTTGGTATAAAAGTTCGATCCATGTACATTAGTATGTCTCGGATCATTTGCAAAGCCTTGTTATGATCTACCCACTTCCTGTTGAGCTCTTCCAAGAAAATTTCTCCTTGAGCAGATTCAATTGATTGAGAAATTTCTCTAAGATGAGAAGTCATGGTTGTCACAAGTCCAGAGTAAAGTTTCTCCCCAAATTTGTGTAACACCATATTATAAGCATTCCTGAATAGGCAGATCATGATGATCAGAAATTGCAGAAATATATATCCAGACATGAAGATTAGTAGCTGGATCTATAGTAGTTATTATTCATAAAGTAAGCTTGGGCAGTTTAGTTAATTTAAAGAAACTAAACTACAGGCCTTTTGCACAAAATTGAATTATTAACCATATGAAACTCCTGATTTATGTTAAATTATAAATAAATGGCAAGTTCTGTGACATCATTTGAGAAAAGACAGACTGATATCTTAGAAACATGATCTTTTTCTTCACACTAAATGTCATGAACTAAGCTAGGAAAAGTCTTAATTTTCTTGGCCATCTGAATAAGAATAAACAAAAGCTAGTGATAATCTAAGACAGCAAAATGGCATCACAGTGAATGCTTCAATATCATGTGTTCCATAAGAAAATTCCAGCTAACATTTACAAGTTGCAACCCCCAAGCCAACCAAAACAGGATAAGAGCAAATGACATCCTAAAAATAAAACAACCTGAAGCAGCCAGTGTAACTTGTACACAAGAACATTCACACATTGTAACATATGAATGGCCCAGGATACATAACTAACATTAAGGGTGTGCTTGGATACACAGCTTAATTAGGTGCTAATTCACTTTTTAAATGATAGCTTATGTCATAAGTTTAACCATAAAATTATTAGAATAAGTTGTTTACTTATCCTAATAAGCTATACCATGAAACTTATTGAAATAAGTCATACACTTCTTCTATAAACTATTCATAAGCTCTTCTAAATAGGCTTAAACTCCATTTGATGTTAAGGGTAAAAACCTTCAAACTCCTCAAAAATTCACAAACTGAAAAGTAATTCTATGACGACATCATGAAAGATCATTGACCTTAAAAGATAATTGTTGAAAATCATCATTGGCAAGTGGCAACTGAAGGGAAAGAATAAGCCAATAAAAAATAACACCAAAATATTTAGACACGTGATACATGCTTCACAAAAAAATGGATTGAATTCAACATATAATTTCAGTGAAGACTCAAATGGGAAAAGATAAAACAAAAATGGTAAAAACAAATCCGGTCGTGTTAGTTTTTCACAACAGAACTATAAGAGATAGACACATACAACACTACACCCGTGGGGTCCTATGAAAATTTGGCCCTATTCAGCTTCGCGTCACGTGGTGTCTATCTCTCATCACACGTTACGTGAAAAAAGTAATATTAGAGGATTCATTCCAGGTAGGCAACTGAAACAAGTAACCAAAGGAGAGCTCGTACAATTAGTGAAACCCCTAAATTCACCCTTCAAAATTTGCAGACAAACAGCTCCACATAACCAAAACACAACATTTAGTTACATAATCCGTCAACAATTCTTAATCCACACAAAATACAACAAAAGTACATTTCACTATAATTAACTGAGAGCACGTATTAACTTCAAAAAAAGAAAAACGACGCACCAAATCACACAAAACACAACAAATTCACACTAATAAATTATCAGTAGTATTAATAAAAACACAAGGAATTAAATAACATATTACACAATTTAGAACAAGGTTAAAATATTGAAATCGATGAAGTGTTAGTCAAACGAATGAAACAACCTGTAAAGCTCTTCAAAGCTAAGACCACTGGCATTATGGTTATATATCTCGTGAATAGCATGTTCTAGAACCTTCCACGTCTTCTCAGCGTACTTGGGATCCACCACCACGCGGTGCTTGAACGCTTCTATCTGGAAAGCTCTCTTCTTCTGCGAGCTCATCTTCACACAATAATCAAAATTCGAACCCTAGAGAGCTATGGAAAAGCTTCAATTCAAACAAATAAGCAGAACGAAACGGAGAAGAGCGAATTCGGAGAAATCGAGAGGGGAAGAGGAACCCTGGAAGCGAGGGAGGAGCAAGTGAGAAGGGGGAATTGGGGAATGAAATGAAGAAATTAGGGTTCAGAATTGAGAGAAAAAGAAAACGAAGAAGTGAAATGGGGGAAAAGGGAATGAAGGAAGGAATGGTAGTGAGTGGCGAGCAGTAACCTTACATGGTTTTGGTTTTGACATGTATTGACTGAATGGGACTTTGTCTTAATGTTAAATTATTTTTACCATTTTTTATCAATTCAAAAACTCTTACACTCTTTAGTCACCCTTCAATTAATGCTCTCCACATTTTACTCTTAAAGTTAGTTTAAGGATTTTTTTTAATCTTTATTTTTAAAATTAAGCTTTAATTATTTAAAATATTTTTTATTAAAAAATACAATTATTATTTTAAAGTTATAAACATATAATAAATATTTTACTATTATTCGTAAATGTATGGTAAATATTATTTTTAAATTATTGAATTCAAATTTAAATTTTACAAATAATTATTTTTCATAAAATTTAATATTTTTAAATGATTAAATTCAATTTTTTGTATTAAAATTAATGAAATAATAAAATTTTATCATTAATAATTTTCAAGACTCAAACTTAATTTTATAAATTAAAATAAAATAATTTACTTCAATTAATCCATCTATTAGTAATATTTTATTATCTTTAAATATTTAAAAGTTTATGTTACTATTTTTATTTTATTTACATTTTAATATCACATTTGAAATTATATAATTATATATTTTTCTTTATTATTATTTAAATTTTAATAAAAGTTACGAAATTATACAAATCTCACGTATAATTTTATAAATAACAATAAAGTTTAGCAAATAGTAAAACAAAAATTGCTATAGTAATTTAGCATTTTCTGGAGAACAAAATTAAATGATTATAATACTTAAAAAGTTTAGTGTACTAAACATGTGTTCGATAATAACTTATTTGTGAGAAATATAATTTTTAAAGAAATATCTTATATAAGTCATTTGGATAAATGCTAACAATACAAATTTTAATATATTTTAAGTGTCTATAAAACACAATCTTTAATATATTTAGACCTTATTTAAAAAAAATATTTTGAAAATTGAAGAAAGAAAAATACTAAGTAAAAGTGAGTTTGGAAGATAGAGACAGTAAAGTGAGATACCAATAAAACTCATCTAAAAAGTAAATTTTTCCCAATTTGGGAGGTACGAGGACAAGACTACCTTTTATTTTATTTATTTAAAATTTTATATAATAATTATATAATAAAAAATTTAATTTAATTTTTCATAATCATTTATAATATAATTTAATTATTTTTATATTTTTTTATCTTAATTTAATTTAACAACACGTTTAATTTCTAATCTATTTTAAATTTTCTATTTTTCTTTGATTTATTTCTCGTCCAAATACACAATTAATCTTCTGTACAACTATTACTTGCATGTAGTGTCCAAGTACAATTTTTTAAGAAAAGTTATATCATTAATTGTGTGTCACATGGAACAATGAACATTAAACAAAACTAATTGACATTAATGAAAATACCTTTGTCTTTTATTGAAGTATCTAATTTTAATCCATAGGTTAGTATATAATTTATTTGCAACTATACTAAGAGATATGTAATAACATCAATAACAGTAAGTTTTTAGAGATAAAAACATATGTTAGGGTGTTATTACCCTATTTTGGTAAATAAAGAAACTAATCCCAATAATTTTTATTACAAGTGTCCAAACAATTTGATTAAAATGTAAATATTGAAAGACAAAAAAATCAAAGTAAGAAATAAAGATTCCATGTTATTTCGTATGTAACAAAATTCCAACTAAATTATTTTAGTTGGAGTAATCAAAATAGAGAGCATTGTTTAGTAAGTGGACTGACGTTAAAAATTTCTTACTTTGTAATATTATCAATTGTGCAAAAGTAATTCAATTGTAGAAGTGAGTATTGAGATTATAAGAGGGCCTCATGATAATTACACTTAGGATTTATGATTTATTAGAGGACGTAGAAAGAAAGGTATATATTGTAGACGGTGACATTGATTTAAAGTGTACTATTTCATAACTTATCTATTATATATTTTTTTTTTGTAAATTTCATAGAAGATATTATTCCAATTTACGAAATGAATGTTTTGGTTAGTTTAGCATAAGGATAAAAATGGATGTAACGCTCAAATTTTGTAATAGTAATTATTGTTATTTATATGTGTGTGTGGAAGTATGATTGATTGAATTGGACTGGTTGGACTGAAAATAGGCTAAGTGCAGGGTGTAATTTTTGGTTGTTCTCACTGTAGCGAGAGGGTCCTAGAAGGACGGACTGAAACCATCGCCTTCTCGCTGTAGCGATAGAACGACAGTTTGAAGTGCATTTCTGGGTGCAGTCTCGCTGTAGCGATAGGGTCATGCTATAGCGAGATTCTGTAGAAATCAGGGTACAGTTTCGTCTGAGATTTTCGTTGTGGCGACAGAAGGCGTCGCTGTAGCGAGAGTGTCGCGATCTGAGGGGTTTTAAAAGGGTTTAGAGATTTGAGATTCATTTCTCAAATTCCTTCCCAAGTCTTTTCAATCTTCTCGACCCAAAACCCTATCTCACCGATTACATTGCCTCCAAAGTCGTTCAGGAGCTTGATTGAAGATTGAATTCATGTGAAGAACGCTTGGAGATGAGTTTAATGATTAGGTTTTCCGTTTTCATTCTCTTTCTTTGTTTTTACGGTTTCCCTGAGTTCTCATGGAGTTTCTCCATGTGTTTAGGATGAAATCCGTGAGGGGGAACACCTCTTGGTAGATTTAGCGTGTGGGTTTTCAATTCAAGGTAAGGGAAGACTTTACCCTACTCTTTTTATGTGTAATTGATTGAATATGGAGTTGTGGCTAAGTTAGAAGGCAAAAAACGTGTAGAGAATGAAAGTTAATTGAGAAATGTGATGAGGGTCATGTGCCGTTAGATGTGAATATTATGTGTGTTTACTCGAAATGGATGAATGTGAATTGTATGCCAGATGTTACATGATAGAATGAATATTGTAAATAAATGTGAGCCAGAGGGCCATGTAATTTAAATGAATATTGGCTATGTGCCGTGTAAGATGAACTGAATATGAGCCTAGTGCCATGTATTTGAATGCAATGTGAGTTGTGTGCTGTATGTAGGCATGATCATTGCATGCGTGAATGGAATATGTGTGAATGGGCGTGTTAGCACTATTATAATGTGTTGTGAATGGTTCAGCAATACATTGGGGGTGTGGAAGATGAGAACGGTAGAAATACCTCGGGGAAGAGGGAATGGTAGTGACTAAGGATGGAAATAGGTCAGGCTGCCTGAGGGGCCTGTGGCCTGGCCTGGTTTAGGCCTGACTTGGCCTAACCTTTTTAATAAACAAACCAGGCTTAAGCTTTTTTAAAGGTCTGTTTAAGTAAATAAGTCAAGCCTGAGCTGTTTATAAAGCCTATTAAGTCTGACAGAGCGGCTTGTATAAATATAAATATATATATATATATATATATATATATAATAATTTAAAAATAGAGTTGTCAAAATATATTAAAATAATTAAGTTATTTAATAATATATTTTTTATATTCTTAATTCTGTTATTATCAAATTAATATATTATGTTATAATTTTATTTATTTATAATTATAATAAACAGAAATTATATTCTATTAAAAATTAAAAATATTTATACATGATTACACTTTTTAAATAATAAATTTATTTAACAATAAATTATTACATTTATTAAATTTAAACAATTTAAAGAATAGTTAAGTCTTTGACAGGAATAAGACATAATCAAAATTAAATGAAATAAAATTTAAAAATAAAATAATAAAATTATATTAACATATTTTTTATACTCTTAATTTTATTATTATTAATTTAATTATTTAATTACTATATTAATATATTATGTTATAATTTTTTTTTATAATTAATAAAAATTACTTAAATCTGAATTATATTTTATTTGAAAGAAAAAAATTATAAAAAAATGATAACAAAATAAAATAAAAAACTTATTATAATATATATTTATATATATATATATATATAATCAGATCATGAAGCAAATAATATAAATAATATAATTATAAATAAATTATATAATAATATATATTTTTGTAACTTGCACGTATTTTAATTAAATTATTAGTTAATTTATCAATTTATATATAATATATAAGTATGTGTTTTAATTTATTGTATCAATAATAATTTATATATTTCATTAATGTTATAGTGTAGTTAATTTTACATTTATTTGTTAATTTAAAATAACAAATTAATGAAACAAATAAATTTAATTATTTTGTAATTATTTTTTTAATTTAATAGTTATTATTATTGTCATTATATATATATATATATATATATATATATGTATACACACACATATATATATATATATAGTACTTTAAGTTTAAATTTTTTATTAAGTTTTATCACTTATTTTAAATTAAGATAAAAATTTAGAAATATAAGTTATTTTAATTTAAATATAAATTTTAATAATTCTTTCTATGTTCATATGTTATTTTTCTGCATCTATGAATTTTATAATATAAATATTTTTTATTTACAATTTTTATAATGACGATATTTATTTACTTTTTAAAATATAATAATTTTTTTAGCTGATTTAATAAATTTTGTAAGTTTTATTTTTTGTTATAAATTTTATGTGTTTACTGTGATTTTATTTATTGAATATAAGATGTCTTTATACGAACAAAATATAATTATCATAAAAAATAATAAAATATTTAATAAATTTGTAAGATTAAATTGAGAAAAATAAAAATATAAAAATTTTATAATATAAAAATATTTATAATTAATGCTCAAATAATATTTTAAAAAATATTTATAAAATTGTATAAAAATTATTACAATTATTTAATAATTATCAATAACACAAACAAAAATTTAAATATATGTAAACTAATTTGATAATAAAATAATTATATTTTTATTAATATTATTCAATAACAACAATTATTATAAATTTTTAATATTATACAATTTTTTTTTTCTTAAGCAATTTTATTGGTATAAAATTTATAATAAAAAATTTTAGTGATGATATTCACTACATCACAACAAATCATAAATCTAACACAATCACATACTTCTGAGTCAAAGCTGCTATTGCACTTA